AAAAAGGGGTGAGTAAGGGATCTGTTAGAGGCATATTATACAAGAATTCACCCCAGGCTATGTATCAAATGTACGCGTTAACAAAATAGAGGGAGTTTACAAAAGACCAGTAAGTGGTAGACCTTTTTCTTCCCTATTACTGTAATTCCTGATTTTTTCACTCTACTATTTTCACTGTGAACTTTCATTACCGATATCAAATCTTTTGCCTTTTTGCCATTTTCTGCACTTGCTGTCACCGTTAAAATTTTATGTTCTGTGAAGAAGTCCACCGAACACAAAGTTTCTTCAAAATCATGAAATTTTGTTACCGTGAAGGCAACGTGAACTACAGTACTAGATCCAAAGTTCAGAGGGTACAGCAAGGATTTCGCTTGAGTGCATATTATGGAGGATTCTTTCAGGGCCATGTGCTGTATTATTGGTCACAAGCTGAGATAAGGATCTAGGAGACTGTGGACTTTAAATAGCTCAGAGTGGGACTGTCTTTTGTCAAATATCTCAAGTGCTTCTAGCTAAAAAAAAAGAAGAATGCCAGTTTCTTGACTTGTATACAATGTTCAATGATATTGCTAAATATATTTTACTGAAAAAAATAGTGCTCTTATGAGGGCCTGCAAGGGGGGGTCCCGACAATGCTCTACGCTGAATTCGGAAACCTCTCAATTACGCTTTACGATAAATTCCAAGTGGCTACAATGCATTACGTAGAATTAAAACGCCAAATACGCTGTACGCAAAAATATTAGAGCGGTCCATCTACGCTATACGTAGGATTAAAACGGCCGATTACGCTCTACGGAAAAGGGCTTGCGGGCCCCCTCTTATTAGCAATCTAAAAAAAATTCAAACTCAAGTATTCTACTATATGTATGAGCAAATGATTTCATCGCCCAACTTACTTTAAATTGATCAGTTCAAACTGCCTAACTGCCAGAGTACACTGATATATCTTCGTGGCCAATTACACTAGTAATCATGCCTGCCCTGAAGCTCTGATTGCTGGCATTTTGTAAAAGCCACAGGGCAGAAAATGTGATGAAGAGCAAATGTCTAACCCCTACAGGAGAGTAATTGTAAAGGGCAACATGATTCTAATTTCTGTCTGGTTTCGAACAGGGAGTTTTGTCTGCCTTGGCAGATAGAATAGCCACTGCCTGTGAGTTCTAAACTATTAAGATTACATACATACAATTATAGATTAATCAAAAAATGTATTGAGAAAAACAACTGCAGAGAAAAGGGGGCCTGCATGGGGGGTCCCAGCAACGCTCTACGCTAAATTTTGAAAGCTGGCTACGCATTACACTGAATTCGGGAAAACTCTCAATTACGCTTTACGTTAAGTTGTGTTTCAACGCATTACGTGGAATTAAAGCGGCGAATACACCCTACGCAAAATGCGCCAATTACGCTCTACGTTGAAAGGGCCTGCATGGCGGGGGGAGGTGCTCTACGCTAAATTTTGAGAGCTGGCTAAGTATTACGCTGAATTAAGGATGCCTTCCCATTGTGTTTTTACAATAAATTCTGGGTAGCTACTTTGCACTATTACATGGAATCGAAACAGCACATTACGCTCTACAAAAAATGTGCCAATTACGCTCTACGCTGAACTAGAGCAGTCCGTCTACGCTCTACGTAGAATTAAAACAGCCGATTACGCTATACTGAAAAGGGCATGCAGCCCCCCTCGCTCTTTTATGGTACAAAAACGGATGGCTCCCAGGCTGCTCACTCCCTCCCCTGAATCCTGTTTGGTTTGTTCCAAAAACTTTTCTGTGTGTCAGCAGTCATGTGGACTATCAGGTCCAGACATCTTCACCCTGTGGGGTGGGATAATCCACCTGATCCAACTGATAATCCAACCCTGATCCAGATGACACTGGATCACCCAGCATCAATGGGGAAGATGGACAGTTGCTTGAAGATTAGGGCCACACCACTGGGCCTTGTAGGAATGGGTTACACAGAGACTCACTCACACAACAACACAACATTAGCAAAAACAAAGAACCCACGACACGAACAAATCGCGCCGCCTTTTTTTCCACAAGGAGTGCGTAAACACCCGTGAATGGAGTGGGATCTTCCCAGGGTGTCGAATGATCAGATTGAAGATCTAAGACATTCTGACAAGACACAGAAGAGCCAGGGCTTTCTTGAGATGACACCTCAAAGGACCAGGCTCCTTGAGATAAAGAAAAAAGAGTTGTATATAACTGTGTCAGTTGAAGTTCTCACCGTATCATGTTCCCCCTTGGCTATTGTGTAAAACAGACTATCAACAGTCTGGGGCTATTAAATGATGTCTACAAAACTGAGGAGAAAGAAGACTTCAATTTTTCAAGTGATCTCACGGTCATACTATGACAGATACAAAACCCTGAATGGCTTTAGTCCTATCTTTGACAACAGCCTAATACTAGTAATAGTAAAGGCCAAATACAATACAATGTAGTTGACAAGTGTTTGTAACTTTGTATTAATAGTTTTAATATATCCTTCAACTAAAAGCAACTAAAATGGTACTGGAAGAAACCAGCTTGATTTACGGTTTTCATTTCTTGAAAGAAAAGGAAAGAAAAAGAAAGAAAAGAGGAAGGCATCTTGAGGTATCAGGTTTCTGCACCTGTCATCACATACAAACAATCTAAGACTACTAAGTGATGTCTTCACAACCTGCCATGAGGGGACACAACAGTTTTACAAAGTGCAGGGACTGAACCATGAAAACTACAACACTACGGAGAATGCCCAGTACAACCAAGGACTTCAATTTATTATAGAGACTACAAAAATGACATGAAATATTCTCTTTTGATCATTTTTGTCACATTTTTTACTCAAGGCCAGGGACACCAGGACTTGCATAAGTGTAAGTATAAGTGTCAATGGGCATTCTAGGTACAAAAATATACTAGTAGTACATGTAGTATCCAGAAGTTCAAAAACATTAAAAAAAGGTGGAATATAGTACGCAGCATCGGTAATCCATAAGGTATGCACACTAAGACAGTCATTTTTTAAATGTAGCAGTGTTCAAAGCTGCTGTTAGCAAATTTCATTTAAAAAAGCATTTTGTCACCCCACAAAACTTGACTGTTATACTGATAGTATACCCAACCTTGCAGTAGCTGTGTAATGTTATATCTCGTGACTATCAGCACCAAGAAGCTACTGAAAGAATGTTGCAGCCCTACTCAAACATTCTCACAAGCCGGTCAATTCCTAAGCCACCAGTGATACCCCTGCCAAAAAAACACATGCTATCAGCGATTCTAATAACCTCAAATCCTTTATAAAGCCTATTCCCTGGCTGTGTGTATATATATACAACAACCGTATATCAGTCTTCACACCTCGTTTTATGTACAGTATTCCCCCCTTTAGGTTTGGGCAGCTAATCTTCTGTAAACCTCATACTAAAACAGTGTGTAAGATGAGCGAGGGGGTAACAGTACGTTGTGATGTTTACCCTGTAGTGGGATATCCCTTAAAAGGGTCTGGTCACACCAGTGCACTACCAAGGCCAGGCAAACAAGCTACAGTACAGGGAACTGTCATATGACAGGGCTTGTCTTCAACCAGACTGAAAAAGATAGATGAAATTGTCCAAAATATAAAGAATTTGGACAGCCAAGGAGCACATATTAGGGCTCTCCCCAAGCAATGAAGCAAGGGTGCTCCCCCTCTCCCCAAAATCCTAGCCTCACCTCTCCCAAAATGTTCAAATTCAGGGTTTTCCCTTAGTATTTTCATGAAAATTCACTGATTTTTCATCAACTGATTAGGGAGCACCTCTCCCCTAGGAATTTCTGGGGAGACCCCTGACATATTCATATATATTCCTCCTATTTTTTGCTAATTTCTAGCTTCCTGTGCAGACTTCTAGCAGGGAAGCATTTCTATAGGCTACTAGCTAGCATTTTGTTTTCAGGGCGAAGGCTTTGAATCTGTGGCTCAGGCCAAGAGCTGTATTCACAGAGAGAGCTGGATTGCCTGAGCTAGAAGACGCAAAATTCCCTCTGCCGCATTAGAGAACCCTAGCCCGTGTGAAAAAGTATCGCGAATCACTCACAGCGCTCTCCACAAAAAAATAAAAGCAACTGCCCCATGAAGTCTGTGAAATAGGCTAGCCAATGTCTACTTTTTAAGTCTGCAGTGATGTCTGATAGAGACTACATGAATGTTGTCGGTGCGCAATCCATTATCTCCAAGCAGATGTAGGGATTAAAAATTGTAACGTTTTCTGGCTGTCGCGCTTTGGTTGTGGGCAGCCAAAAAACATTGTTTTTCCAAAATATACTGTGTAGGTTAAAGGATATACAGGTCAATTTTGGACCACACACATTTGCCTAATAGTATTGCTACACTTACTACTTTGGAGTACAACTTTTCAAATGCTGTCGCTCCCACCGTAAAAGTATATTTATGGATCATCCCAGGGGCTGACCATTGCACACAATTATGGGGGACACTCTCTTACATTACAATAAGAATCTTACAATGACTATTAATAAAAAAGACTTAGCGTGGTATAATAAAAAGTCAATCGGGAAGACAAAATATCACATATGGGGATTGTTCCACAGCCGTCTTATGGAAGACCCCTTCGTGTTTTTAAATTTTAGGACTCCCCTAGAAATAAGAATTCGTTTTGTTTTTGAAATGGACAGCGATAGAATTTTACATTTAAATCACATGGGAGCTTACCATACAACGTTACACTGCGCTTTCCCAGTGTAGATTAGTTTGACCCGTAAAGGGGATCAAAAACAGAAGCATTTTAGCGAGCCGTAAGGTATTTTACACTACGGGCAGCGCTTCCGTACGTACACACATGCTAAAGTCTTCGCTATGCTGAAACCCTCGGCAGTGCTCAGCTCAGCGGGGTGACTTCTACTAGCACCGTCCGACCGCTCAAAATTAGCGATACTCAAAATTTGGGAGGAACCACGCAGCGTCTTGTCACGCAGCTAGCTAAGGAGTGATCCTACCTTGGACTTGAAGACAAGGAGGCCGCCCAACTTGGAGAAATCTTAGCAGGAACCACGCAAGACGTGAGAAGTCGACCGTGGGCCAGGCTGCACTGAACTCTTTTGAACTCTCCCTTTATGAAGGCTCTTGTTGGAGGATTGACGTACACCTTATTTCGAGTCAAGCGCTACTACTCTCATAGTTATTTCCAAAAGAAAGACAATATGGTATTGCTTTGAATTGATTCTTGTAGTTTTGACACGTTTTCACTTGTGTTAAAACGTTTTACGGTCCCTTAAGCATTTCTTTGAAAGAAAGGTATACTGAATATCACCCAACATAGCCTCCATATAGCCAGGAAGCACTTCAGATCCCATAATCTGATTGGACAGCGAAACTCCTCAGCTTGAACGGGTGAACCAATCAGAATACAAAGATCGCTTTCGCGCCAAATCCAGTATTGCCACGATTATAACAGCGCACATGTTGACCCTTGCTTGTCAACAAACCACAAAAATGATCTGAAAAGTGTTAATACGTGATTGTTTTACTTCACAGTAGTAGTAACAAAACACATTTTGGGGCAGTTTTCTTGCCTCAATCGACGTTTATTGTTTCTGGTGCCTAAAGCCATAACACGTAGAATGTCCTAACCTCCAATCGCATCAATGTGTTTACTTGTAAGAAAACGATTTGGTTTATTGCTAAAGATTACAACAGTCGTAAAAGAATACGGATATTTTATTAAAGGATAATTATCAGGTTTTTATCGCTAAGTGCAGTAGTAAACTTAACCAATAGAGGGCGCTGCATAGAGGTGACCCATGAAATCTTCACAGAAAAACGTTACACAATTATTCAAAAGAAAACATTGGACAAAACACAAAGTTAGATAGTAAGGTGAGATTTATTTGGTTCAACTGTTCAACACTAAGCATGTTAAGTTGTGCTGAATTTGAGGTTGATTGGTTGCAAACTGAAGATTGACTCTTCTTCCTTTCTTCGTTGGCATGGCAACGGTAACACTGCTGCCCTGTGCAGAACTTAGTTCAGCCTGGTCCTCAGGTAAGGGTGGGTCTGTACGTAGGGACAAGAAAGAGGAGATGATGATCGAGTGAAAAAAAGATTATTGTGTTCTGAACAGATGATACTATATATGCCCCCCCCCCACACACACACACACAAAATGAAAATGCCCCCTAATATCCCCCTAAAAAAGCCCGACTCTTAAAGCCGGGGCTATGAGGCTAGAAACGCTGTAGCAAATTGAATGAAGTTTATTGCACATTCTTTCATTCAGGAGTATAAATCCCTCCTACTATAAAATTGCAACATTGTATGTAACCCACCACCAGCTACCATGGTGAGAGACGTCAACGAATCAGGTCATTGGCCAGGTCAGAGGTCAATGTTTGGAACAGAAGAAGAAGAAGAGGAAACGAAGCAAAAACAATATGTTTTCCTTCGGTAAACAGAATCAGAAGCTTAGCCCCACTTACAGAGGAAGGACAGCTCACATCCCTGCCCAGACGCCAGCTCTTGGACTTCTGTCCCTCGCCCTCCAGCTGAGGAAAAGTTGCACACAAACACACGTCACAAACACGGACTTACTAACAAAAACTGCTAACCGAAGTACCTAATGCCAGCTTAGAAAAAAAACAAGTCATTACTGTAAGGGGTTGTTCTTCAACTAGCCTTTATTCTAGACTAAAATTCAAGCGGCTAGAAAGAGTAGAAATTGGTCAAATAGACATATACCATGCCAGGGTGTTGCTCCTGAAGGAGTACAAAATTTCTTTCCTTCGGGACGGCAAGCTGTACTCCTTTAAATTTAGCGGACCAACTCCTCTGGCATGTTACCTGTTTGACCAGTTTCTACTGTTTCCAGTGGCTTTTGAAGCCTGCGACAGGCTATACTTAAACCGTTGTATCTAGTCTTACACTCGTTAAGGTGCTATCATAAAGTTCACTAATAAACGTGCACTGTAACTAAATGGCTAAGTACTACCTGAAATTAAAAGGAACATCCTTGGTTTTTTTTGTGCAGTTAATTTTCATGATTAGTGTATCACTAGTTTAGAGAAGAAGGCTGTCACCATGTTCATCCACAGCGCCTCGGCAGCCTCGGCGTGAGCCTTCCCGCTGAAGTGGAAACAGTCAGGAGCGAAGTAACTCAGGTCAGCCTCTCCGGTCTGAAATCACCAGCAAGAAAAAATTATTTTAATTTTTGCTGCTCTGCAGACTTCGAACCCTTGCCTATACTGCTTTAATTTGGATGAAAATAACAACGATTATTTATTTGGATGTATGGCAAGGATGCACACGTGAACACACACAAACACATACACACAAAATTAACATACATAAACACACACAAATATTACGAAATTCAGGGAAGGCACGTCGTGTCTTTCGCTGCCCATGTACAAGTATGCATATGTTTGAAATTATTTAAAAAAAACTAGAAAGGTAACATTTGCAAAGCAAAATAATGTTTACCTTCCCATATGGTCTGCACTAATGATATTCTTATTCAAACACATTCATTATATGCATGGTCTGACAGGAGTATAAATCTCTCCTTCTATAAAATTGCAACATGATGTAACCCAACCCCAGTTACCATGGTGACAGACGTCTGGTTCAGGTCATTAACCTTATTGGTTTGCAGAAGGAAGAAGACGAAGAAGTAGCCTGAGGGTCAGCCTTGTCCCCAAGGAGCGGACGAAAGCTAACAAGACTGACACTCAGGCTAACGAAGAAGAGGAAACAGAGCAAAAACAATATATTGTCCTTCTGTAAATATAATTTTATAACGTTACCCCGCTGGAGCTGAGTGGGATGGGCGTGTCCTCGAAGAACGGCTGCAGCACGACAGTGAAGTCATCCCGGGTGTCATACCGGCCGGAGCCCACCAGCTCGATCAGGGAGTTCTGTCAGTGAATAGACAAGCGGAACTTACACGTCGATAAAGGTTAGACGTCCAGGTAATGCAATACACAAGGAAATTGTTACTCAAGCAACTGGATGTGATTTTAAAAACTGTCAGACGTTTCAGTCACTGACAAAAAGTAGCTAGTTTATAGGATAAGTCTAGTACCTGATCCTAACGCGAAGCTATTCCGCCATGGGTACTTTACTACCAAGGCTACGGTTCAGATTCAGCTTTCTGTTTGCAAACTCCACTGTTTAAAACTAGCATGCATCCGCACCTAGTGCCAGTGTTACCCGTTCGCTGTACATAACTAGTTACGGACTTATTTAGGTTCAAGTAAAAAAAAAAAAAAATTAACGTCTGGAACTAGTTCCAGACTTACCAAATAATCATGTCTCATTCCCCTTTTTTGTTATAAACCACCTGAAATCTTCAATTGTCAAAAATTTGCGCTGCAAAATGAAGAAAACATTGCCCTGGTGGTGCAGTGCTCGCTACAAAATTTTGCGGTAAAAAGTTGAAGATGCTCCATTTTCCATTGGGAAATGTTAACTGAGAAGCCCCTTCCATATTTTGTATATGCCCTGTGTTTAGGTCCGGACTTACATGTCCTAAACCTAAACCTAAGGATACCTGAACCTAAACCTCTGGACTTGAATCCGGAACTGGACCTGAACGTGGGTTTAGGTATATACAGCATTATCCTCACCTGGTACTGCAGGTTGACATTCCGGATCTCATTCAGGGCGGTGTTGTCGGCGTACGTCACACAGTTGCACAGGAACCTGCACAGCAAAAACAGAATATCGTTAGATTCAAATGATCAAACCAAGGTTTCAGACAAATCCATGTTTGGTTGCCAATTGATCGCTGTCTAGTGAAAAGAGGGCCAACGCGAGCAGTATGTGCACGACGAACTATCGCATGCACGGTGAGCACTCTATCCACTACTAGGCCCTTGCGGCAGCTAAACGAGCTGTTTCAACCATGCTCAGCTCAGGCACGGTTCTGAATAGTCCGCAAGAATACAGCACCGTGCCTTGGGCAAATCTATGTTCATTGATACGCGAGGACTATCCAGAACCGTGCCTGATCCTAACCCTAGCCCAGTCGTCTGACATAGAACTAGACAGGCACGCAACGTTCTGGGTGACGGCGTTCAGCACCAAGGACAGGACCCCACATGGGGGCCGTAGTGCCGCCGAAGTAGATAAAATATAGCCTCTACCACGACCCCGGACAGGCTTCTGGAGCGATAAACTGTACTCTAAGCGCGGACCAATTCCCCTGGTAATGTTATCTGTCTATTTGGTCAATTTCTACTCTTTCCAACCACTTCCCGAAGCCTGGTAGAGGTTAGGCAATTTACCTACACCGCCGCTTTGGAACCGAACTCTTCCAGTAGAAATGACAGGCGTGCTACATAGCCTTACAAATGCTGGAGCCATCCTTTTTGTTCTTTTACTACACAAAAAGGTACTTTAATTCTATTAACTCTCTCAACTCGGACTTGAAAACAAATATTTACTATTAACCGTTCACAGTACAACATTACAAATAAAACTATACAATCGTATATAATGATACATTAGAAACAAAATATTGATTTTTTTTAACGTGACAGGAGGTACCTAACAGTTAGATGATGATCATTTTAAATATTGTTCGTTGTGTTCTTCTATTTCTATAGTTTTGTTTAGTGTGCTCATAAAAAAGTGTAAAGGCCACACTCACGCGGACAGCAGGCGGCAGGTGAAGGTAAGCTGACCCTTGTTCAGCTCGGCGATGTCCAGCATGTTCACCAAGTTCACGTACGCACGGGGGACCTGGGGACGGGGGCAAGGGCAAGGTCAACACTGAAACATTGACTAGGCCACACTTCTAGCAGCCCTTCCATTGTTCAGGGGCTAGGAGGGAGAGAGATTGTGTACAGCATGCAAATGTTCACGCAAATTTCGTTTTTACTTCATGCATTTCACTGAATACTGAATACTTTTAATAGTATAGTGGGGAGTAGACCCAACCATTATTGTCCCTAAGGAAGGTAGCAGAAGTCATTTCAAGAGTAAAATATTGAACTACTAGCAGTGTATTTTCACATGTTTCACGGAGACACAACTTCAAAACATCATGAAAGTTCATCTGTGTTGGAATAAAGTTCAACTTTTTACTATGATAACTTCAAGACGTTGTTAGGGTGCCCTAGACACATGTAGTTTTTCCTCGACAAACTGCGCAAAAAATCGCTATGGAACTACCTTGTAATTGTATTTAGACATACGAGATCAGCCTGACCTGAGCGTGCAGCTTGTCCAGTGCCTGCCGGATGTAGCCCTGGTAGTTAGCGGGGCTCCTGAGGTTCTTGTCGTCGCAGTACGCACACAGGTCGTTCCCGCCGATGAACAGGGTGATCACCTTCCAGTCGTTCTCATAGTCGACATCCTAGAATAGTGGTTAGAAATATTGTCTTAGAATCTAAAGGTACCGGGTTCAGATCCCAAACTAGTAGTCGATCTTTCAGTGATGGCCTTGTGTCGACATCCTAGAATAGTGGTTTGAAATATTGTCTTAGAATCTAAAGGTTCAGGGTTCAAATCTCTTAACAGGTCCCAAACTGGTTGTTGATTTCCTAGTGATGGCATTGCGGCTAGAGCTGTTGTCTTGTATCTATTGGTCCTGGGTTCGAATCCCTTGCAGGTCCCAGACTTAAAGTCCACCTCCTAGAATGATGCTTAGAGATATTGTCTTAGAATCTAGACCTGAAGGTTCTGGGTTCGAATCCCTAGCAGATCCCAAACTGATGGTCGATCTCCTAGTGATGGTGTTGTGCACGTGTTCTGGGTTGGAATCCCTTGCAGGTCCCAATGCATTGTCGATAGAATGATAGTTAGAGATATGGTCTTCGAATCTAAAGGTATGGGTACGTTCGAACGGCCAAACTGGTGAACTTACCGCCGAGTTTTGCAGACGAGTGATCAAGTCGTCAGCCTGGCCTGGCATGTCACTAAAGGAGAAACAAAACAACAACATGGGACATGGATTGACACTTGGTAAAGCGTTTCCAAAGAAAGATTCATGAAATCATTTCTTGCTGTTTACAGCCATTCAGATACTGGGGTGAGCGACAGCATGTCGGGTGAGCGACAACAGCTTGGATTCGACCACCCAACCTCTTGGTCCAGAGGCAGGGTCGCTAACCACTTAACTACGCACGCTGCGAGCTTACCAGGTTCAGTAGAGTTTAAACAGGTGTCCAGTCTATCGTGGTTGGAGCAGGCTTTGTCTTCGGGGCTCTAATAGTTTTCCCCCGCCCAGTACAACAGGCTTCCCGGTAGGAGTGTTACGCTAATATAGATAGGCACACCGGGGGTTAATTTGCCCCACCACGATATTCGTGGTGGGCCTCATCAAACTACCGTGAAAAATCTACCGGGAGAACCTAGCTCAGGCAGGCGGAGAAGAGCCTCAGCAGCCCCGACGAAAACCCGACCCAACCGCGATAGACTGGATACCAGGTACAGTAGAGTTCTGACGTGTACTCACATGGCCTCCTTGCCGGGGAAGGCGACGTTGAACTTGGAGCCGATACTGAAGACATCCCCGGTCCCCATGGAGAACCCCTTCACGTTAGGGTTGAACTTCTTGATGATATCTGAGAAGTGTGAAGAAGTAGAGTTATCAACGAAGCATAACTGTAAGGAGAAAGGTGTGACAATAGCCCATCCCAATATATCATTGAGGCTATTTCCTGAAAGGGGCGAAAGAGGCTATTTACATGTACATCAGGGCCCATCACCCATCACTCAACCGCGACGGGGGCCGACATCGTCTACCAGATACCTTTGACCCAGTTTTGACGTTACAATTTAGAGAAGCCACGTGACAAGTCTCACTGGGTCACTCCACTAAAGAAGACCACAGTTACTGGTCTAAAGCTCTGAGAACATTTCCATTTACCTTTAAGCTTGTAACTACCAACATAGGTGAACTTTCCTGATAATACGTTCTTGAGTTTAGTCCTAGCAGGCGTCACAGGGTGTTATGGTCATTCATGGTAGGCAAGCGTTTGTAATAAAACGGGAAGTTCCTTACTTGCAAGAGTGACTGTGCTTTCCAGGGAGCCATCTCCGCCGATGCTACAGAAAGAGGAAGAAGGAAGAAAATTAAAGACGTTTGTTTCGACATTCCGCAGTCAGTCCCAATGCCCATAAACATGTTAGACATTCTCTAGTAGTAAGTACAGTTTTGCCATTGCCATTATTGTTGTGAAAATCGATTATGTATCTTTTTCAGATGTAATGAAAGAGGCGGCAAACTATCCACAGGACACAAAGTGTGCGGAGGATTTAGAAACGTTTACAACGATCATGGAACTGCACAAAGACCCAGCTCACCTCCATGAAGCGCCTCGGTACTCCGTCAGAACTTCCAGCACGTTGGAGGCCAGAGCACCGTTCGCCGCCTGAACAAATGTCATGGAATAAAAAAAGTTTCTCTAAATTGAGCATTGTTTTTTACACAGAAAGGAGCTTGTCCGAACGTCATCGATGATTATGATGACGATGAGAGACAGACAGATCGTACTTACGGTGATGGAGTCTCCCAGGGCGGCAACCACGTCGATGTCAGAGGGACGGAGCTGGTGAACTGGGGAAGAGACAAGGCAACGTGAGAACACGATCTCATCCACAGGTATCTGTCCAACGTTTACCTTTACATTTTTAGTACGATAGTAACAGCATCCAGTGGTTCAACACTTATGCAGTAGATTTTATTTTATGTACTCTAAAAGCTTGCAGAAGGTGTAGACCGATGGCTTGTATATACTACTACTACTAGAACAGTTTGGACTTTAAGTTGAGTTTGAACCTACCGGAAGTGGGTGTAGTGGAGGAGTATTGCACGGGGCAGCCGAAGCCGCTGAAGCCCACAGCCTGTTGGGTAATCAGAACAGAATACATCACGTTTTCATAGAGGTAAAAATGTCATTGTACTAAAAGTATTGACTGTATAGCAAGCTTCTTCCTTCCTATCTTCCTTCCTATCTTCCTTCCTTTCTTCCTTCCTATCTTCCTTCCTTTCTTCCTTCCTATCTTCCTTCCAATCTTCCTTCCTTCCTTTCTTCCTTCTAATCTTCCTTCCTTTCGACTTCCTTCATTCCTTCTTCACTTCCCTTAGCCTCTCATTCATTCATTCGTTCCTTCCTTCCTCCACTCACTCACTCACTCACTCACTCACTCATTCATTCACTCATTCATCGATTCATTCAGTAGATCCATCCATCCATCCATCCATGTGTGAGTTGTACCTACCGGAAGTGTCCACCTGCTGGCTGCTCCCTGTTCAGCCGCGGCCACGTGCTCAAGAGCCTCCTTATACTGCTGCCACTTCCAGTCAGACCCTGGAAGGGGCATGATAAAAAGGAATGGGGGTTAAGGGGCGGCCATAACACCTTCCTAACCAGAAAACAAGATTATTGCGCCGTCTCCTGGCCCTAATTTCTCCCAAACCAAACTTATTCTAACGTCAACAGAGACTTCGACAGAATTTGCCCAATGCTCAAGGATCGAGAGGAAAAGAAAATGTTTGTACACATATCAGGATCTAAAGACGTAAATTTATCAGCATTAAAAGTCTCTGTGACACATTTTCTCCTTCTCAAGTGTGTATCAAGTACCACTTAAAGATGCTTACAGTTCTACTTGAAGATTTACGAGAATAAGAGGGTGTTTGGAATATGAGAGGTAGTTGGAGAACTGACCTGCGTCTGAACTGAACTGAATATCCTTCAACATTAAAAGTCTCCGTGACACAATTTCTCCTTCTCAAGTGTGTATCAAGTACCACTTAAAGACGTTTACAGTTCTACTTGAAGATTTACGAGAAAGAGAAGGGTGGCAGCTTAAGAACTGGCCTGCATCTGAACTGAACTGAAAATCCATCAACATTAAGTCTCCGTGACACAATTTCTCCTTCTCAAGTGTGTATCAAGTACCACTTAAAGATGCTTACAGTTCTACTTGAAGATTTACGAGAATAAGAAGGGCGGCAGTTTAAGAACTGGCCTGGGTCTGAACTGAACTAAAAATCCATCAACTTGAAGAGTACTATTCTCTGTGACACAATTTCTTTTCAAGTGTGTATCAAGTACCACTTAAAGACGATTACAGTTCTACTTAAAGATTTACGAGTATAAGAGGGTGTCTGGAGTATGGCAGGTATTTGAAGAACTGGCCTGCGTCTGAACTGAACTGAACTGAACTGAATATCCATCAAAATTAAGGTCTCCGTGACAAATTTCTCCTTCTCAAGTGTGTATCAAGTACCACTTAAAGACGTTTACAGTTCTACTTGAAGATTTACGAGAAAGAGAATGGCCGTAGTTAAAGAACGTACCTGCAGCGGTCGCCACAAGGGCGGCAACAACGACGAAGAACTTCATGTTCGAGACGGTTGAGAACTTCAACATCAGCCGAAGAAAAAGTGTGGAATTCGCGGTGACTGACTCGCCTTATATGTGTATCCCGCTATCTTAGACATCTGAAATAAATGGGGGTAAATTTGCCGTTCTGACTACAGGCGGTAATTTCATTCGCGCGCAAACTAATTTTGAACATTTATCACTTCTTGGTTGCTGAGCGCGTTTTAATTGGTACGACCTTCCTTTTTTTACTGATAGGTGTTATCTACAGTTCATAAATGAATTTTCGAATCTCTTGCAGGTGTGGATTACGAAATTCATAAACAACTTTGAATTTAAAAAATCGTAATTTTAGTCTATTTCTTTCCCTTGTTGCCATTTTATGTTTCCTTTTCTATATTTTCAATGTGTTTTCTTTAAAGTGGAATCTTTATTGACGAAGTACATCGACTTTCATGAAGTCTTTGTAACCTTACCTTCCAAACACACGGATACAAATGAACTTACATACACGTATATAGAGTATGTAGGCAAATCAGTATATGTTGAGTTTAACATATAGTTCACGTCTTCTGTTGGTGTATGTATGAAAATTCCAAATTTATAATTATGGCTTCACCACTATGTGGTGAAGTCATATTGTTTTCCTCATGTTTCTTCTCCTTATCCTCCTGCCATTTCGTTAAATGGATTCAATTTCTTCATTTTTGGGCCAAATGACATGGAATTTGGCATGAAGATAGAGTAGCCAAATACGCCCAGTCGTTTTTTTTTCGTTTTTTGAAAATCTTTTTATTTGTTTTTTTTTTGGCCATTTTCATGCAAAAAATATACATTTTCGGGCTCTTTTCTAGTTTCATATTGTGTCAGTCGGCGGAAAATACTCCTAAAGTTCTATGTACACCTGACTTTCACATTTATCGTATTCTCGTGGCTTGCTATGATGAAGTTTATCTGCGTAGATACTGAGGAAATAGGTTATGTTTTATGACCAGTTCTCTTCCTTTAGTTTTCAAACAAAGCTGATATTTTCTTCAGTCTGTTTCTAAATTAGTCCACTAATCTACGTTAACCAATTTCCGTTGGAGCCATAACATGCGAGACGCTTTTTATCCATCGGTCTTTGTTTCACGTGTGAAGTAAAACAAATGTTCTAAAAACCACTGCCTTTTTTCTAATCAAAGATACAGGCACTAAAAGATATGAAAAGTCTATCTTGAAGAATGCCGACACACTGTGAAATTTATTGCGATGTTTTCCCGTGGTTTTGTCGTGTTCCATGTGTTTCACTCCCACGTTTATTGCTGAGATCCTAAGTGAATGATTTTATGACACTTTACGGTCAACAAACGTACGACGCGTCGACAAGGACGCTTGTGTTTGGTGTCCTCTGGTGCTTGGTGTCCCTCTCTCTTTCTCTCTCTCTCTCTCTCTCTCTCTTTGTCTCTTCTCTCTCTCTCTTTCTCTCTCTTTCTCTCTCTTTCTTTCTCTTTCTCTCTGTATTTTTCTCTCTCCCTCTTTCCCTCTCTTCTCTCTTTCTCTCCCTTTCTCTCTCTCTCTCTTTCTTTCTCTCTTTCTATCTTTCTCTCCCCCCCTCTCTGTGCGTGTGTGTGTTCACGCGCGTGTGAGTGACAGTGCATACCGAGCGTTTGGTTTCTCTTCAATAGGTCTAAAGTGAGATAAGCTAAAGGTAAAGGTCCCTTAGCCCTTCAGGCAACAAGGGCAGCTGGTCTTGTGTAATGTATGGCAAAGCCCCTGCCCTGCCCTCCACACACCCACACCCACATGCTCCTTTTTACCTACCTACCTTTTTACAGAAGGTGACAGTCATTTATTTGTAGAACCGCAAGTTCTGTTGGTGACGAAACTGGGATAACGTTCGTTCGCGCGTACTATACTCCTAGCAGACTTTTTTTCCGGTGCGCCTAGTTCCGCTAACCTTGAAACTTTGTTCATTAGTTGGCAGACATGTCTGTGTGTGGATGTGTGTCTTTTTCTTCACCTGTTGTAGTATTTTAGCCGGTAATAGTTTCATTTAGTAGCACATCCACCAGCAAGTTATCAATCAACCGTCTGTCAGGGTTCCGACGTCGTGACTCGAAACATATTTCAGTAACAAAATTTGTATGCATGTTTTTTTACATAACCTCAAAACGATCATCTGAAGAGCTTACAACAGCAAGTCTATCTAGTGTATAAATTATTGTGTATAAGGTATATAAATTAATATACATAATACATTATAAGTGTATAAGTTATAGAATTCCGAATTTCGCTGGACTTATCTGTTTTATATATGACGATAACTGAATAAACGTTATACTTGTACGTTAAAGATCTGTGTTTGCACGGAACGTATGTTAAAGAGGAAAAGGATTTTAATGTCTTGCTTATGACGTTAACATGCGTCATGTGTGACCTTGAATGAAACGGAATCCACAGTTCCGTGTGCATCATGGTGGCGGTGGTGTGATCTGGACATTTGTCTTCATTCATTGCACAACTTCAGATGCCATATGGAACATCTAACTCTAGGCAATGTCTAAAGCTATCCAATGACAATGCCCGTACTGTATTCCACTTAATTTGCGATAGTTCTAGGAAAGAATGAATTCTTGAACACCTCAATCCTTGGTTGATAACTCTGGTACTTGAAGGCATGGCTATTTCTTGTTCTCTTGATGAGACTTCCTGCGTTGCCGAGGCTAGATGGCTAGCAAGTGGGTTAATCCACAGTCTATCTAGGACACGGTATTGTAAGGCAGAGCCCATGGCTCTCTTTCCATCGCGGTTTGCCCCAACTAAAGTCGGGTACCCATTTTACACCTGGGTAGAGTAAGGAAAGCCGTGTAAAGTGCCCTTCCTAACTGCCCTTCCTAATACATCAATCATAAAAGATAGGCTTTGGAGATTAGTGAGAAGGCAGTAGTTTTAAACGGAAGATTTTAACCCATTTTTATGTTATTTGCCTATCGATATCACGAAAGTTTCGAAGTGGACATTGTCGTTGACAATTCTTCCATAGCGTCTTGAGCGTAGTTATGGCACTAAACCACATCTTCTTCTTTTCCTTCTTTCGTTTAAGGCAGTTTATTGAAGATTCTTCTGCCTGTCGTGGGTTCTTCGTCCCATAATTGATGCTTTTTTTGGGGTGAAAAACACCAGAAAAAGTTAACAGGTGGTTGGAATGGGCGGGTCCATTTCCCGGTCACTCACCTGTCCCGCAAAGGACTACGGGAAATACTTCAAACCAAAATGGCGGACATACATCGATGAATTTTAGCGTCTCTTGACAACCAGAAGATCGAACTTGTTTACTGCAGTTTTTAGCGTCCCTTTACGTCCATTTCTAGGTAGATAGTGTTCCTGTCAACATGGCACAACTCAAGGTACAGGCATATCTGGAGAAACACAAGATAAGCGCCCTATTCGAGGTATGATAATCTGTTTTTCTTTGTGGGGAGGGGGGTGTCACCGAACACAAATTTAAGTTAGGCCAAATTAGAAAAATAAGGTTCGAGACATTAGTGAACACCACTGGTGTCATCTGATGAATTATTTGTGTCATTGCCTTTGTAATTTTTTTTGAAAAACTGACAAAATTGTACCACATTCAATGATTCAAGGAGAATGCACATCCCTACCTAGTGTCTCCATGTATGTATTATTGTATATTTTGGGCCTTCAGTAATAAAGTTTGAGTTCAAATTCTGATCGAACCTTCAAAGCAAAACTATACAAAACTATAGTCATTATACTATAGAATATGACATAATTTTATTGCCTCTACCGGGCATAACTCAATATATTCTAGTTCTTCAATTTAGGAGTAACACATGTTGATAGAATCCTGTATGTATTATTTTTCCTCAGGAGATGATGAGTAAACTGATCCAGGAGCAGCCTGATGAACCCCTGCCGTATCTCAGCAGGATGATAGACAGGAAGTGGGAGAAGATCAGGCCCAAGGTGAGACACACAGGCTACAGTCAATTTTTAAACCCAACATCTGCTTGATGATCATGAATCATACAACCCAAACATATATCAAATGACAGGTAATAAATTATTTGTGGAACCATGAATAATAAATAAGTACATGTAAGTGGCTTAGGCCTTGACGTAAACATTGTAACAATAGTGATAGAGTACTAGTACCACACTCTGTTGTATTTTCATTTGAGTGTGCAATTTCTTAAAGCATACATGAATGTAGGTAGATGATTTTTAGGCAAATGTATCACTCCACCTCCCTCACCATAAAAAATGGAGTAAAAATACAATATATTTCCCTTGTACTCTGTATGGAGTGAAATGTAATAATAAATTTATTCTTCAGAGAGAAAACTCCCCAGCCAGAATGAGGACTGCCCCTAGTCCTTCAGCTCTGCGCAAGTCCATGCCGGCAGGGAATGCCACATGGGCAGGAAATAGTGAGTACTCACCCCTTTTTCAAATGGAATAATCCAGCACCTAATTACGCTGTGGGTACTTAGGAATGTTCCACTTGCATCCAAGGGGTGTAATTTTTTTTGACGATTTCCAGTTGTACTGTACCATGGAATGATTTTGCACTATGTTGAATGTGTTTAATGTGTAGTTCAATAACACTAACACCACTAGGCATGGACTTTTACGTCACGTTAGCACGTCTTATTTCTGTACTAACCCTGTCCCGCTCTAGGCGAGGGTGCGGTGGCTAAAGAACGGGAATACGACCGACCCTGGCTCACTAACGCCAAACGGTCCAGGTCAAAGGGCAGGTCAGGGGTCGAGGGTCAGGATAATATCAGGCCAGGTGGGTGGAGGGTGCTGGTTTCTTTCATTCTGTTTTGTTTGTTTGTTTGTTTGTTTGTTTATTCACATCTACACATGCTCATCCACTCCAAGTTCTTCTTCGTTCTTTTATCCTCATGTTCATTCATTCATTTACTCACTCCTTCACTCACCAGTCATGCACTGTTTCTCTCAATCACTAAGTGCTTACTTGTTCAGTTACCAGAAATTGAATTGTAGTACTGTACTCAAGAATGATATGAAGTTTATTCAATGACATATTCTAGACATGTTACAATCATTAAAGCTATTAATGACTTGCTCATGTCCAAAGTTTCATTAGTTTTATTAGTTCATATCATAAATAATTGGTGTATCACTAGCTCATCTTGTTAAGTCATTAACATTAAGGAGGCCATATATCAAGGAATTCCAGCCATCACTTAATAGAGATGGTGGACGATATAAACTCCCTGGCACTTTTGATCAATTGCTTACGTCACGTATCAGTAAAGTTTCGTGTGAATAAGGTCACGTGTTTGTAAACCGTAACTCTTGCAAGATTACGTCTTGAAGTGATTGGTCATTAATTATCCTGATGAAGGCGACAGTAGTTGTTGAAAATTTGATCTCTGTGTAACCGTTGTGTTGGAATAAAGTTCAACAGTTTACCAAGAATTTTCTTCCTTGGTCTCCTCTGACAGAGAAGAAAGACAAGCCCACATGGAACCCAAACACACAGAAGGTCCCAACAGGTGACTTTGACGAGCTTTTCAAGTTGACTAAAGGGACCAAAGGGATGAAGGGCAGCAAGTCTGTGGATTTTGGTAAGCTCTCTGTGCTATTCATGTGCTGTTTAAGTACTGTTGTGATACTTTCTTTTGTTTATCAACATATCACCATTTTAGCCACAGGTGTCAAAACTCTGTTTGTACTAAAAGACCTCAAGATACATGTAAGTAGGGGTGACCTGGTATGCCTGGCTATTAGGGCAAGCTGTACATGTTTTTTGTACATAGCAAAGTCATATTGCACTATTAGTAGTTAGAGGGCTTTTAAAGAATCATTACATTTAACCTCAAGCATTGTATGATCGAATTCAATAAGGGAGAGAGAGAGAGAGAGAGAAAGTGCCATATTTCCTGTATTTAGCCATGAATAGTTGTTTCATCAGGTTGGTAAGTCACTGAATAAAGTGACTCTTTTGGCTGAATAAAACTCTTGGTTGTGTGAAAAAAAGAGGCTCTTTATTTCTTGTTTTGAGGTTTACAAAACATGAAACTGCAATAGACTCAACACATATTGTACTATGTTTAATGTTAAAACTTTTGATCCAACACAAAAAATTCTCTCACCTAGAGCTTTCGACCTGTCACTCTAACCTTCCTCAGTAGACTGACCCAGTGAGACTTGTCACGTGGCTTCTTTGAAGTGTGACATCAACACTGGGTCAAAGGTATCTGGGAGATGATGTTGACCTCCATCGCGGTTCAATATAGGGCGATGTGCTACATATTGTACTACATGTATATATTAGGCAACCCATTGTCTGTAGATATAAGTGCCCGACAATTCTCCTTCCACTTTACCACAGCCATGCTGCAGGACCAACTTGGGAAGGACCTGGACGAATCCCTCAGGCACAGCCAGCCCATCTACTATGGACAGCCCCGAGACCAGGCACTGAGGGAGGAGGACAGCCTGAGTTCTGAGCTGAAGGCCCCCATGTCGTCCAGGACTGGGGAAGAGGAAAGCAGCACTGTTGACCTGTGAGTTATTTAAAGCAGGGTCGTATCAAGATCACTTGAGTTAGTGCCAGACCCAGACTTGCGATTCAACCTCACCCATTGTAAGCTCCTCTCAATTCATCCCTCAGAGAGAGTAGTCAACTAACCAAATAACGTAAGACAACACTTGTAGGAGCTGATGACAGAAAGTATTTGTTAGAGCTTTGTTAAGAAAAGGGCTATCAAGTTATCTAGTTGGGTTTTCTATACACACCACAATATCTCCCATCCTGATATGCCGTATTTGCTACCATCACAATCTGTTGTGGAGAGGACCTTTAAGTGTTTGTCAGAAGCTACATGTACTTGATGCTCTTTGTTTTAAATGTCATAGGATTTGTATTGTTTTTATACTGATAAAAACTGATTTTAAAAAATCAAATAGCTCAATTTCATTGAAAGTGGCAGGGGTGCAAAACCAATAATTGAATGATTTACCCCTTAATGACAGAGAGCTGCGTACAGTGAAGCCCCACCAACACTCCCTCCAGCACAAGCGTCAGCTGGAAGCCATTGTGAAGCAGAAGGAGACGGCGTCAGACAGCGGGCTGGAGGAACCCGAGGAGGACGATGAGGAATACGAGGAGGGGCTGGAACTGTTAGGTAAAGGGTCAGAGGGCAGGGCAAAGGTCATAGGACATACATCAAAGGACAAAGATCATAGGTCAAAGGACAAAGATCATGGGACACAGGGCAAAGATAATAGGTCAAAGGACAAAGATCATAGGTCAAAGGACAAAGATCATAGGACAAAGATAATAGGTCAAAGGACAAAGATCGTAGGTCAAGATAATAGGTCAAAGGACAAAGATCGTAGGTCAAAGGACAAAGATAATAGGTCAAAGGACAAAGATCAAAGGACAAAGATCATAGGACACAGGGCAAAGATAATAGGCCAAAGGACGAAGACCATGGGTCAAAGGGTAAAGACCATGGGTCAAAGGACAAAGAGAAAATGGGAAAGGTTTCAACAGAAAAGCAATTGTGAATGTAAATATTGGATTATGATATGTCTGAACCTCTCTTTACCAATTTCTGTGTTTTGCTCTCAGAGAATGCAGATGACCTAGCAAAGGAAGGTGTCACCAATGTAGTTCAATCAGGACATAAAATCAGCTCGGTGAGTTTGGTCATCTATTCACTACGTACTTTACGTTCTTTGCTAGTGTGATGTTTTGGTAAACTCAAAACATTTCTTTCGGTGGCTGCAAAGACAGTATCAAATTGGCTAGGTAGTATCCATTTGCCAGACAGTTACCATTTGCCACGCAAAGTTTGACTGTTGAGTGTTATAAAAAAGATACCAGTACAAGAACAAAGCCCAATAAAAATGCCTCAAAGCCTAAGCAGAGGTTTAGGTTAAATTTTTTCAGCTTGTTTTTGACGTGTTTTAAGGCATTTTTATTGGGCTTTGTTTTTTGTACTCTGGTGTCTTTTTTTTTTTACACCAGCAAGCTGATACTAAGAGTACCAGTACAAAACAAAGCCCAATAGAATGCCTTAAAACATGTCAAAACAATTAAGCTGAAGCCTTAACTTCTCCTTAATTATTGGAGTAGATGGAAATGGTCTAGAAGTAAATTGACTTTGTGTTTAACTTCTACCACCAGTCCTTAAGAAGACCACCAACTCCTGAACCTCAAGTTAAGGTCACCATCTGTGGAAGATGTGCAAGGTGTGTGTCATCTTACTCATCATTAGATAGCTTTAAAAATGTTTCTGAGTTAGATGTCCAGTTTTCTTCCTTAACATAATCCTATGAACGCTTTTTTTGTGATCTCTAATATCCTTTCCACAGAAAAAGTTGTGTCAACTAGTTGTCCAATACATACAAAAAACATGTTCCACTAACAAATACTAAACCCGACTCCCTTGTTTTACCTCCTAAAACACTAGCACCGGTGTGGCAGAAAACTCTGAAAGGTACAGAAATGAAAAAAAGTAAAAATACAAAATTTTTTTCATGTAGATGTAGGAATATTTACGTATACTAAGTACTTTTTTGCAAGAACTTCTAGGCTTAGATGATATTTTGATGATGATTTTTGTTTATTTTCACAGGTTAATGACAGGAGACAACAGTACTAGTGTTGTTCGTGAGTAATCTTTTTGTATATTACAGCCGGATTTTTATATTAATGTATTTAAGATATGTGTGCGGTGGGTACATATTGCATACGTGTTACATGTACGAGAAAATGTCTTGATGTTAAAAACTTGGGCACCTAACACTTTTACAAGGTTTAGGGAATCTTATTATTAACCAAGATTGTCTCACCATTTTGTTGTACTGGTAACTACATATTGCCTCTGGTCAATGTTGTTTCCCCTGTTTACTTGATGGCAAAAGATGATAACAAGGATTTTATCCCATGTATGACTCCACATATTTGTGCATGTTATGTGTTATACTAACGGTGCCCCCCTCCCCACCCCCTCCCAGCCAATGGTCAGACACCTGACTCTGACTCAGAAGTCAGTGGGAGAGGCACTCCTAAAGTTGGTGTGTACAATCTACTCACTCCATTTACTGGGCTTCTTTCATAACTACTATCGTATCATACTTTTTAAGTAATACAAATGTACCAGTAGAACTTTGCTATTCATTCGTGTACCAACCTGATGAAATTAGTTACGGAATTACATGTACTTGTACCTGTATTACTTACAGCCTCTTTTTCACACTCACTCAATAGTATCTACTTTATCGTACGTTTTGTCCCATTTACAATATAATTAACCAAAGTTAAATGTCTTGTGCCAATGTCACCTTGTCCCCAGGTTTACTTGTGTCACATGTGTATCATTCTGTGGTATCTGTACAATCTTATCATAATTGTGGTGACATTCAGATTATTATCATGGCTGGTTGGAGTAGATATCAGCATGTTGTGTATTGAATACACATCGCAACACACAACACACAAGTTGTAACAACTTACTAACACTTACCACCTACTTTCAAGAAATAATGCCCCCCTCCCCACTTCCCAGCATTCCCTGCACTGACTGATGATGAGTTTGAGAGTGTGTCACAAGTTGAGGGGCCGGTGAGTAGCATCAGGAACCTACCGTTTTCTTACTGACAGACTTTGTCCAAGCTTTTCCAATACAGAGCTAATATATTACAATTGGTACAAAGCCAATACCTCTCATAGAATGATGGTTAATGTGTCAAACATGTTTCTTTGTATTCCAGAGGGCCCCCGTGTGGTATGCAGAAGAGTCAGAGAGTAAGTACTACTCTATGATGTTTATCATACACATCTACAATCATGTTATATCATTTTATATAGCTAGATACATAGATATAATACTGGTCTAACTTGATATGGTTTAGACACTGATTGGTGTCTCAAAAATGTAGGTGACCACAATAATGAGTGTAGTACAGTGGCTAGTGACCCTGCTTGTAGGTACATGTATAGCCTGTCTTCTCTGTCATGACCAGTTGGAGATTAGCTCTTCAGTGAGCTAATTTGGAATAAGATCACTTTCCTTTTCCTTTATATATATCCAGCTGAAGTGTCCAGAAAAGGAGCCCACATGCTGACTAAGGATCCCCGGCCTGTGAAGGGCAGACCTATGTTCAGGTGGGTGGGACAGGATTTCTCTGAGAGGGCCTGCATGCCCTTTTTTGTAAGGCGTAATCATGCCTTTTTAGACTTCGTAATTCGTAGGCAAATTTGTAGGAAAATTCGTAGTGCTCTGTTAATTCTTACTCAAACACATTCATATACATGCATGTATATGGTGACAGGAGTCTAAATCCCTCCTGCTATAAAATTGCAACATGATGTAACCCAACACTAGTTACCATGGTAACAGACAGTCTCAGGTCATTGAGGTCATTGTTTGGAGAAGAAGAAGAAGAGGAAACGTAGCAAAAACAATATTTTTCCATCGGTAAACATAAAAACACCTTGTTTTTCTCCTTTTAGTAGCCCTGAACCCCCCCAGAAGCCCCTTGCCCTGCCGGCACCCCCCAGTAGGGAGGAGAAGCCGCCCCGCCACACCAGTGCCTTGAGCGCCGCCCTGAGGGACGATCTTTCCGACTTTGGCGACAAGAAAAATAAACCAACACGAGCCTTCGCCTTACCCAAAGATGACTCAGAGGTAAATAAAAAGAATCTTTTTTTATGCAACCAAGACTAGTGTTTTATTCAGCCGATGTTTCGTTTTATTCAGGAAAACCAAACTAACCGACCCTTCGCCTTACCCATAGATGACTCGGAGGTGAAAAAAGTCTCCTTTTTTTTTGGCAACCAATTATTTTATTCAGCTGACGTTTTGTTTCTTTCATTGCTAAAACTATTCACAGAGGTATATATACGGTTAATATACATGTACATCCCATTTTTTTGTATTCAGCACCAAGGACGGAACCAATCCCTGCTTATTCTAAAGAAGGGTCAGCTCTATTTGTGTGTTTTCTGTACCAGTAACATGTGACAAACACATATATCAGTACCAAGGACAGGAACACAAATAAAAAATCATGATTATTTTTTGTCCATACAGTACAGTCAAGTAGATACAGTACAGTACACAAATAAAGCCTGCACAAGTGACCACCTCTGCATAAGGACCACCTGACCAATGTGACCACTTTTTGTAGTTAACCTGCTCCACATTGGAGTGTACCAATCTGTAATCTCCAAGCAGATGTAGGAAGACAAATTCATTACATTTTTTCAGCCATTAGGAAGGCCATTTGTCACAAAAACAGTTGCTAGAAATGCTACAATGTTGCCTTCCAAAATCTGCTTGGAGACAGCATTTTATGCATGTAAAACTATTAAAATTGCTGTGAGCTTCACTGTCCTATCCATGCTTGTATATATAATTATGAAAAGTACAATGTCCATGAAGATCCCCCCCCCCTACAGGAAGAAGTGGTAGAGCCTGCCCCTCCCCCCAGCCTGAGTGGTCGGCCCTGGTCCCCGCCCCCCGAGTCAGACTGTGCCAGTGTAGGTGCAGGGGTAAAACTTTTCTGTGGTGATGCACAACATCGCATGTTCAACTTCACACGGTCTTTTATTTACAGATATTGAAGCAACAGTTACTATTTTCCACTGGTGCTACACAGCTTGTGTTCTAATTTCCAGTCTTTCCTTTGCAATAGCATCAGTAACTTCACAGTTTCACTGGTGACACGTGACATAACGTGTTGCAGAATAACATTTTATTTGTTCCTTTGCATTTGACAGAAACCTTGCTCGTTGTGCAATATTTTGGCTGCAATTGCAAGTCACATATAAATATTTGCATACTGTTGATTTTGATCTATATGTATATAATATAACTTATCTTAGTTGAATGACACATTTTACCATATCTTTACATGCTTTTTTTTTCTGTCTGAGATCACTGAGAAAAACAGACGCTGGCTAGAACACTGGAATGTATTATTGCTGTACTGTAGTAAACAATTATTGTGTTAATTCTCTGGCTGTGTTTGTAGGATGAAAATGGCACAGTGAAGTCAGCCACGGCCCTGTCACTAGCCGGCCGCTCATGGCGTGCCCCGCCAGAAACAGACGCCGAGAGCGTGGACTACGAGAGGGACAGAGGTGAGAGGTCATCTTAGGGCTGAGCACCAGTACACTGGTCAAAGTTAAAAGTTCAGTACAATGGTAAAAGTTCAAAGTTCAGTACACTGGTCAAAGTTTAAACTTCAGTCAAAGTTTTCAGTTCAGTACACTGGTCAAAGTTCAGTACACTGGTCAAAGTTCAGTACACTGGTCAAAGTTCAAAGTTCAGTACAATGGTAAAAGTTGAAAGTTCAGTACACTGGTCAAAGTTTAAACTTCAAAGTTTTCAGTTCAGTACACTGGTCAAAGTTCAGTACACTGGTCAAAGTTCAAAGATCAGTACACTGGTCAAAGTTCAAAGATCAGTATACTGGTCAAAGTTTAAAGTTCAGTTTACTGGTCAAAGTTCACTGTACCTGTAAAATTGACTTGGAAAAGGTCTGGATGTAAACATCAGGTATACCTGAACCTGAACATACCAAAACAGGCACAATGTTTAGTCTAAAGGTCCAGACTGTAACAGTACTGTACCTGTAGGTGCCTAGCCCTAGGACATATCTAGAAAGCTGCTAGTTCAAAGAATGTTGCAATTAGATACTGACAAATGCTTTCTGTAAAGACAGTCATTCAATGAGAGGCCTTATTATAGGGGGCTGGTGTGCTTTTTATGCTAGTGCCAGACATGTAACTTTTCTTGTATTTCCTTTTTTCTTTCCCTTTTAGCAATGCCATAGAGGCCTTCAGCATAGTAAATGCCTTGTGGTGGCCTCTTCACTATCTTCCATACCACATTTTAGAACACTAGATCATAATATAGCCATAACCACGTCGTGGTGTTGGGTTCACGCTTATTCTCCTTTCCTGTAGTTGGCAGAGTCACAGGGTTTCGGGAGCACAAGAGAAGTAGGTGTTGTGTGTGCCTTGATTCTTCATGATTAAGACTTTCTTGTAGGCACAGAACTAAATGACTAAACTCATCATTAATTGTATGAAAGATTGTTAGATTTTTAGCATCCATTCCAATGGGTGGCATTTTGCTTATGCCTGTATTATGTGATTCTACTTTGTTTTAGATACATTTCGTAACTGTGTGTTGCATTGTGACAACATTTCTTAGTCTACATTTAAGCTTATGATAATGTATAATATTATACAATGTATATACATGTTTCATGTCTAAAAGGCATTGAATCGAATGATACATTTTGAATTACACTACAAATGACTTATACAAGATTGTAATATCTGATGATTTTGTTGAACAGGGTTTTCAGAAAATATTCAAATTGTCTAATATTTTGTATTGCAGGACCATGACAAGAGCATCGCTAGTTACCAAACACTTGGGACCAACAACGGAATGTCACCAATAACCTCACTTGATAGTGGGACTCAACTGTGGCCTTATTTTCTACTACAAAAACTGTCAGTGATGTTTTTGATGTCTGTATAGATGTATACTGCTAAATGTAGGTTTTAGATAGGGGACAGTTTGTAAGATACACCTTTTATGCTACCATATGTTGAATGAGGCTGTTGTTCTCTGCAAAATCTACAATGATCTTGCAGGCCTTTCGTCCTGCCTCTGCTCAGTATGTTCATAGTGCCGGCAATTTAGCAAATTGAACTTGAGTCTAGACTCTACAAAGATAACATTTGCAAAGCAAATGCATGATGTTTACCTTCGTATATGGTCTGCTCTGTTAATTCTTAATCAAACACTTTCATATACTAGTATATGGTGACAGGAGTCCAAATCCCTCCTGCTATAAAGTTGCAACATGATGTAACCCAACACCAGTTACCATGGTGACAGACGTCTGGTTCAGGTCGTTGACCTTATTTGTTTGGAGAAGAAGAAACAGAGCAAAAGCAAAATTGTTTTCCTTCTGCAAAGGTAAACAGTCATAATGATTTGATGTCTTGATTTTAGCCGTCTATGCAAAATTAACATTCTTCATAGTCCTCTACAATGGCTATAACACATTTTTATTACTTCTTTATATGGAAGTATTGTTTTGGGTGGCTGAGTTTCTGGGTATGTCTGTATGTCCAGAGTAGGTTGACAGCACTTGGGTGGGTAAAGAATGATAGGTGGTTAGTAAATGCATTACTAACTAAAGACAAAATATTGCCTTCCAAAAAAGATCTTGGAAACATGCTAGCAAAAAAATGAATTCAGAGTCAACTTATGGAATAGGTATTTTACTTTTCATCAAAGTTGAGGGGTCTTGAATGTATATTTATTAACTTGAGCATGTAGTGCTAAGCATTGTGAAAAACATCTGACAACATTTCGTCAAGAAAGCCATATTACATGTACTTCATTGACAATGGGTAAAGTTGTAACAGGCAAGCCAGATCAGACTAGAATAGAAACATTCATATTGAGCTCTGTTATCTTACATGTAACTGAACAGGATTATTACACACCAGATTCCCCATACTTACATTTCATTTTGTACCAGACTAGTAGTGCACTATAAAAAACAAATTCATGCACCAAAAAAAACCCCTTGCCACCCTATCATCTCAACCATCTCTTTTCATAAACTCCACCACACAATATTCAACATAAATTACACATTGCACTGCAATCTCGAAGCAATATGCTTATTGTACGTGCCCGAAAATCTGCCACATTTAGTTTCATTTTCATCCCAACATGACCTTAAATGAAGACATATTATGACTCCAACAATTCATACTGTAACTGCAAATTCCTATAAATATAGGTGGACTGCTAAAGTAGTGAAAAATCTGTTCTAACTTGCTGGCCAATGCTTTCACTCTGTCATCAAAGTCTATCACTGGTATTTTTCATCCTATAATTTTAAAGTCTTTTTACACCTTGTGATTTCACCCTATAGAATATTTTCCCAGCCCACCAAGCTAGTAGTAAATATACATTTTGTGAGAATGTATTTTGTGAGAAGGCATTTTTGTGAGAACTGTTTCTTTGTGAGTTATTATAGACAAAAGCGTCATGTCAAAATATTCCAGAAACATCAATGAGATCTTGAGTTATGAGATTATATAATACTGTAACACCATTTTAACTTCCTATAGCTGTACACATTTCTATTCATTGCAGCATTTACTATTATTATAATATAGCAGTATTCTGTCCTTTCTTTCAATGGTGTACATAATTTGAAACAAACTACCTACATGTACATGTACATTATTTTATCAGCCTTTTTTAGAACACAAAAGTTCCTCAAAATGTAAGAATTCTTGAGAACAGACATGGGCCTTGCAGCTTGTCAGAAATTCATTAAATCAATGCTTGTTCACTCTTGGAATTCATGTACAGCTAGATGTGCAACAATACCCTACTTCCCAAAATTTTCGAGACATTTAATATATACATAAAAGCACACTCATCCAATTCCACACTCCTAAACTTATTTCCATAGACAACGCCTTTTGGCACTAGATTTGTATTGGTTATCTCCAAATTTATGTACAATATCAGAGAAGATACAGCCTTGACTGGGCTGTTTTGCAGCAAACGAAGATGTTGTCCAGAAAAAAACATTTGCAAACTATCTGCACTCCTAGTATTTCTACTGAAGTTGTGACAGAAAATTTGCTGAAGCATGAAAAATACAGATGCCGGGTTATATAGCACCTATAAGGTCCCAATACAAAGAAAAAACATGTAAAGTTACGATAAACAATATAGCGGTAGCGCCTGTAAGGTCCTAAAGTGTAACGTACCAATAAATACCACAGGTACACAATGTATATTATAATGCCTGAAAAGGCCCAATGGACAGCACAGCTGTGGCACCTGAAAGGTTCCACTAAATACCACAGCTGTAGCACCTGACAGACCCAATAGACACCACAGCTGTTGCATCTGAAAGGTCCAACAGACATCACAGCTGTAGCACCTGAAAGGCCTAACAGACATCACAGCTGTAGCACCTATAAGGCCCAACAGACACCACAGCTGTTGCATCTGAAAGGCCCAACAGACACCACAGCTGTAGCACCTGAAAGGCCTAACAGACATCACAGCTGTAGCACCTATAAGGCCCAACAGACACCACAGCTGTTGCATCTGAAAGGCCCAACAGACATCACAGCTGTAGCACCTGAAAGGCCTAACAGACATCACAGCTGTACCACATGAAAGGCGCAACAGACATCACAGCTGTAGCACCTGAAAAGTCCCAATAAATACCACAGCTGCAGCTTCACCTCCTGAAGGGACACCTGAAGGGTGCCAGGTACTTCCCTTTCATCAGCTTCATGGCCTTCTGCATCATGGGAGCCGGCTTGGCAGCTGGAAGAAGGGACATGTGGAAAATGTTACATGTTATACTGTATACTATAATGCCTGAAAAGGTCCAATGGACATCACAGTTGTAGCACCTGAAAGGTTCCACTTAATACCACAGCTGTAGCACCTGAAAAGTTTCACTAAATACATGTACCACTGGAACATTGACACATTGTATACTGAGATAAGAGTTACTCAAGCAACTGGATAGATCAGAACCACAACTAGCCCTATCTTGGACCTCACTTGGCACTGTTCAATCTCAACCTATGACGACTGCATAATTTTCAAGCATGTGGTGGTAAACATTTTTTTAATGATAAGTAGCAGGAAATCTTGATGGAATTGGCCAGTTTGCTATTGGTTTCAACAGCAATTTGTATTGCATAACCGGTAAACTGCCTTTAGGCGTAACACACCAGTTTTTTACATGTAAGTACAAGCTGAGTTTGACCGGACTGTAAGGTTTGAACCACTCACACCGGGAAGGACACCTACTTTTCAATAAGTGTGGTGGGTTCTTTAACGTGCGTGGAGTGTGGCTCTACCTCCATTTAACGTCCAATCCGAGGGACGTTCCTAACCGAAGCTAGGTACTCATTTACACCTGAGTGAAGTGAGGAAAGTCGTGGACTGCCTTTCCCAAGCTAAGGACACAAGATTGGTGGCAATGGGCAGGATTCGAATCCGGGACCTCTTGGGTCTGAGCCAAGTGCTCTACCATTACAGTGTACTGTACACCACACAATGACCCCACCCATTTGCGCAATGAAATTTGCGCAGGCTGGGTCTTACCTTTAGCCTGCCTGCCCCCAGTACCACCACTACTACTACTGCTGGCAGCTGTACTGGTCCCAGAACTAGTACTGGACATATCTGTAACTATAAACTGTCACTTACCTTTAGCCTGCCTGCCCCCAGTACCACTACTACTGCTGCTGGCAGCTGTACTGGTCCCAGTACTGGACATGTCTGCACCACTGCTGTAGGAACTACTGGAGCCTCGGCTACTGGAGGAGCTGGGGGGACGAATCTTCTTCACTACTGGCTGCTTCCTGCAGACATTCAAGTCATGTACAATATGTAATGTATATGTGCATTGCAGATGAACATGTTTATACTAAGACTTACAGTAGTCTTACAAAGAATGCTGTAAAAGCTAATGCTAGCTTATAATCTTTCTAACAGGATCCTTACCAGTAAGTCAGCAAGTTAAGGAATCCAGAGGTGTTAACATTTTGCAATCACAAGACTTGCTACATAGTTGGAACAACAGAGCAATGTTTATGACTTGAAACATATGCAAGTATTTTGCATCAGTATGTCATGTAAACCTTTACATGACACCTCCTAATTACAGCATTACTACAATGGAAATAGAAATGGTGAAGTGAACTAAAAACTCAAAGAGAATACGACAATGAGCCTGACTTGTAACCTTTGACATAAAATATGCACCAGACTTCCCTTCATCTTTAACCTTTGACATAGAAGACACCAGAAGCTGACTTCATCTTTAACCTTTGACATAGAAGACACCAGAAGCTGACTTCACCTCTAACCTTTGACATAGAGGATCTGCCTGACTTTACCTTTAACCTTTAACCCAGGAGACAGCGTACCTGGAGAGACTGCTGACAGGTTTGTGCTGTGTGTGCGGTCCTGCTGTTCCTAGTTTCTCCTGTTTCCTCCTGACATCACGCGGTGGCTTCACCGGACCGTCCAGGTATGCCAGCTTGGTCGTACGTCCTAGGAGATACATGTATTCTTCAATTAGCTGAGACCAATACCTCTGCCTTGTACATGTACATGTACCTTGTGTCAAGCGGCCCCCCCCACACACACACACTGCACTATTCTACATGTATTAAGTTTGCAATCAATTCGTGAAAAGTTATTTTTCAAAGGCCATTCTTTAATTTTGCTTGATTATATATTGTATAAAAATCTAATGTGACGTTCCCTAGAGTCTTCAATGTTTTTCTTGACACATATTACAGAGAATGATTTGTAGAAGATTATTCTAGTTTAATATTGTTCTTGGGAATACTAGACTTTTATTCCATCATCTTCAAAATTGAGAATTGAGAACTGATCTTCCTACATTATACCTGAATTACTGAATCATGTAATGTGATCAGCATAAGTAACATATATGACTGTGTATAAGTAACATCTGAGCATTTGGTTTGCAATATTTCATTGTGGAAAACTTTGCTTCGTCATCGTAGAATTTCTAAGACTGACCTTGAGGTTTCCCTGCCCAGGCTGCGCTGACCTTGGCAGTGATGCTCTTCAGTCTCTCCTCTCTCTCCTCGTGTTTCCTCTGTAAAGAGACAAAAACAGCAATCAACAATGAGAAACTTAAGGTACATGTAACATTTGCAAAGCAAATGCATCACGTTAACCTTCACATGGCCCAGCATAACAAACTACTGCTTTGTTTATTCTTGCTCAAACACACTCATATATATGGTGACCATGCAGCCCCTCTTGATTTCAGTTCTGCATGGCACTTGCAACATTATGTTAACACCAGTTACTATGGTGACAGACATCTGGTCCTGGTCATTGACCTTATTTGTTTGGAGAAGAAGAAGAAGAACTTTTATCTTATGTAAAAGGACCATCTTCTTCTAATAATGTGCATGCAAAATGTGGCATGTTACCTCAGGCTTTCCACAAGACCATACAGTGTATATCAAGCTTTATGTTGAACAAAAGCAGGGCTTGAAATTTATTTTTGGGAATAGGTGTACTGGTGCACCAAACCTAAAAAAATTAGGTGCACAAAAATTTTTTGGGGTGCAACATACACAACAAAACCTAATTACAGATCTTACTAATCCTCTTCTAAGCTTGAATATGAAATGGGAGCTAACTTCAAACTCTTACAGAACTACTACAACCAAAGATTTTTTTTTCTGACAGATTCCAATGTCCAATATACATTTAGTTTGTAAAAAAATATGTACAAAAATATTTGGTTGCACCAGTGCACCCACAGAAACAAACTGGGTGCACAGCTCCAATTTTCGGTGCACTAAGGTGCACATGCACCCAGTATTTTGAGCCCTGCAAAAGAGACAATCCTATCTTTAATAGACAGAAGAAGCCCTGACCAGATAGAGTTCTCTCCAGGCCTCGAATGAATCCTGGTCCCTCTGAGCGTTCCTGAAGTCTCGGTTACAGTGGATCTGCCACAGGTGGTCTGTATCCTCCATCAGGTACTGAAGTGGAAAAGACCAGAAAAATAAAAATATCTCGTCTCTATTGCAATTTTACAAAACTTAGTTGATTTTGTATTCATAATAATGTAGTCTTTTTGGTTTCTATGTAGTATTTCTGGGGGCTATACATAAAGAGATGCACCATGCAGCTTGCTTTTGGGCTATTTCAAATGTTTCAAGTATGAGATGATGACAAAAATGTGCTAAGAAATGGCAGTAAATGTCAATATCAGACAGCTTTCCTCATCCAGAATACAAATTTTTATGGCTTCACCACATGTTCCAACAGCAGAAGGCGTTGGAAGATTCCATTGCTGCATACTGGTATGGATTATTGGAACACTTAACATTTTGGACAGGGGTAATTTAGGAACAATCCATTTCGTGCAGAAGGGGGATAGGTCCATTTTTGGTGCGGGGGACGTGGTGAAGCCATTTGCTGCATTTGCATCCGAGCAAATGTCAGCCTTTCTAGTTTATTGTCTGTTTTGCCACCCGGAAATTGTATCGGATGCCTTCAAGAAGTGCAGTACTTACCGGGTTCTGTTCCTCCAGGTAACACAGCTGCTCAGGTGTGCATTTATCAAGGACAGGCTTGATGATGTCATAAGGAACCCCGCCCAACTCCTCAAGGGCTGCAGAACAACCACAGAAGGAACAACATCAACAGAAGTTAACAACTCTTTGAATGTGAATTTGTATCTGTATCTGTATTAGCCAGGATAACTGCCTTTCGGCATAACACACCAGCCTCTGTATCTGTATAGCCTGTATAACCACCTTTCGGCATAACACACCAGCTTCTGTATCTGTATAGCCTGTATAACCGACTTTCGGCATAACGCACTAGCTTCTGTATCTGCATAGCCTGTATAACCGCCTTTCGGCGTAACACACCAGCTTCGCAGGCACGCGGCGAATAGCAGCTGGCTATATTACACCGATCAACTTGTTACAACTCACCCTTGAACTTCTAACTCTAAACATTGTTTAAAGCTATCTAATGATAATGCCCCTACTGTACTTAGTGACAGCGAGTTCCACTCTGCGATAGTTCTAGGAAAGAATTAATTCTTGAACACCTCAATCCTTGGTTGATAACTCTGGTACTTGAAGGCATGGCTATTTCTTGTTCTCTTCTGAATGTTTAGAATTATGCCATTGCTGGTAAAATTGACTGACATTTCTCAAGAAATCAGACATCAGCGAGACTCACCATCAATGTTGTCACACAGGATCTGCATACAGCTGTCAAATAGTGTGGGGACTTCTGTACAGGGGAGACAGGTATCATAAGTTAGAGGACATGGTCTAGGTTTTACATTTGTACTTCTAATAAAAAAACATTTTATGGTGAACAACAGCCACCAAACATGTACACCTACAGTACAAGTAGATGTAAGGCTCTAGCTCTTTCTCAGTGTTTTATACCTGTTTTTACACATTTAGTATTCTCCTCTAGTATTGCACTTTTTAACAATCCTCATCTAGCAAGTGTGATACTAGAAAGAAGTCTACTAAATGTTACAAAAACATGTTGTATCATATGGCAAAATTCAACACACTGAATATCTGTGACCAGGTTGTAGCTGTAAAATTCACAACAAAGATACCTGTTACAGTACCTACTAGACAACAGTACCTACTATGCTACAGGTGATGGAATCAGCAGCACCTGAACACCTGTGTGCTCACCTGTCAGGTAATGTGACCTGCGACCTGAGTACACCTGAGTCCGGGTGTTCTTTTGGAAGGTGGCGAACTCTGCATCCTCTAGACCATGACCTGGAAAACAGTAATACATCATGTGTTAGTTTAACTCAGTGTGCAAAATACCTGGTTGCCCAGTTGCAACCAAATTTTACTTTGGGCAACCTATTTTTGAAGCTCATTGTGCTACCTAAATTTTAAGAATGCCATGCCTCCCAACCATGCCCACTTGGCTTGCACCGCTGTAGCCGGCAGATGCTTTTTGATTTTAAGTATTAATGGCTGTTACTAGTATCAGTTAACTAAAGGCTGTTAGAAATATTGTGAAAGGCTTATGTACCTGGTTCAAAAAGTATTTTGTACACTGGTATACGTAGGACATTCAGACAACAACACTGGACATTCCCCCACCTCTCTTCTTGTGAGGAGACAGGTCCAGGTCAGGTACAGGCAGGCGGAGGGGTCGGTAGTTAGGCTGGATCTCAGGCAGACTGACTGGGTTGTCTGGCTGGGTCAGGGCTGGCTCAGATATCCTCTGCTGTGGGGAACAAATACACGACTCTGACAATTGACAAGAGGACTCACCAGAAAACTCAATGACGAGATCTGATTTTACCGGGTTGATGAAGAGACAGAGAGCATCTCAAAAGCTCCCAAGAGTAGTTGTTATGTGTATAATTGTTATGTGCATATTAGTTGTTATGTGTATAGTTTAAAATGTTTGTCAAAAATACATCGCTCAGATCATACATGAAATGGTGTATTTTCTTTGACATATGATTCCTACACCTACAAGATATACCTTTTTGGTTATTCTATTTATACATTGAAATGACAATCCAAAAAATCACTGCACATAACAAAGACATTGGGCTTATCTAAGAATCACATAACTGAGCTTTCTTACATGCAGACAAACCTTGCCTGGGTGCCATCTCAGCTATAGTGTCTGGGAGTATGGGAGCCTTGGACAGCACCCAAGCTACATGTATGTAAACCACAGTCTGCATCAAAGACATACCTTTTTTGATGAAGATTTGTCTTCCAGATCTTCAGATGATCTCTTCCTCTTCTCCTTGTCATGCTTGTGACTCTTGGTCTTGTGGCTGCCCTCTGAACTATGACCTGAATGTGACCTTTCACCCTTTGACCTTTCTCCCTTGTGCTGTTTGTGATGTTTGTGTTTTGACTTCTCAGCCCCTGATGTTGTCCCGTGATGAGACTGGTTCGCCTTCCTTTCCGAGGACTTCGGATTCTTGGTCCCTGAATGATTGACAGGTTTAACAGGATTGGGAACAGGCGGCTTTTTAACCTTCTTTTTCTTGACCTTGACAGGAAGGTCATAGTTCAAATAGTCTTCAAATGACTGTGTCGGTTCATCAAAGTCCTCATCACCACTTCCTAGACCATCTTCTTTGGGTTCATCAAAGGAGACCTTGGATTTTCTATCAGCTCTTGTTTCCTTTGTAACTTCCTTTGGTTGGGATATCTCCTTTGTGACTGGCTTGCTGACCCTTGGCCTTTCACCTGCGACCTGTGAGTGACCTTTGCCCTCATGTTTGACAGGTGAAGATGGCAGCTTTTCTACTTTCTCCCTATGAGAAGACTTGCTATTGGAACTGGACACCTTTTTTGGAAGAGTTGATGAACTTTCTTTGACTGAAACAGAATTAGTTGATGACTTTTCCTTATGTTTGTGGCTCGAAGACAACTTAGCAGAAGACTCTGTTTTCACATGTTGGTACTCCTTGACATATTTCTCAATGTCATCCTCTTCTTTAACCAACTTCTTAACTTTACCAGCTTCAAATTTTGTTGCGTTTGACTGTCCATGCTTCGTCATCTTCTGCTCCAATGACCTTTGGTGATGCACTGATGACCTCTCACCCTGACCTCCTGATGACCTCTGACCTTGTGATGTTGACCTGTCACCCTGACCCAGTGATGACCTCTGGCCTCCATTGTTTAAAGATCTATCTTGTGCCTTTTTCTCCTTATGGTCCTTATGCTTTTCTTTCTTCACATCAGCTTGTTTTACTTTATTGTGACTTGAGGAATCGATTTTAGCCTTTTTTACGGGAGGTTCTTCTGAGATGACTTGGACGGTTTCCTTGGGTTTGTCGGGTTGTTTGGCTGGGATGATGATGCCGTCAGCTGGCACCATGCCCTTCCATTTCTGCACCAGTCCCCGTGCCTGGTCTCCCAGCTCTCCCTCCTGCTTCCTCAGGCCGTTCACTGCCTTACCAACTCCTGTTGCCTGAATGGGGGTGGGGAGGGGGGTGAAAGGATATAGTTTACTGGATGTTAGCTTTAGGCCACACCAAGTAAATTTTTATGGATGACGTGGGAGACGAAAAAAAGGAAGATGTCTTGATTTGAAATATACTAGTAAGGGACGACAGTTATGTTATGGCACGGATTGAAGGAGAAAGAACACGGAGTAACACACCAACAAGTCTTTTATTCATCATGAATCAGTGGAACAGCAGCTGTCGTCATGTCCTGTGTCTTCAAAAATTTCTTGTGCTCATATTTTACTTTACGGGTTTTGCATTAATCTTTCGATTTGTGGCACTCTCGTGACTCTTTGGTCATAAGAAGCAGAATTTCTTTTTTTCTTCTTCTTGAAACAGGCCAAAATCAATGCATGTGTGGACGTCATCCATAAAAATTACTTGGTGTGGCCAAGACGGTTAAAAATCCAGATTTTAACATCCTTGGTGTGACCTTACATGATCTGAAACTAAGACACTTAATTTTTATAACCATACATTATTGAAGCTAATTCTAAACTGTACATATGCACCAATGTTCCCATATAGTTACCCAATTCCCAAATCTGATCAAAAGGTTAATACCTTAAAATCTATGAGAAGTAACTTGAGTGTGTGATACTTACCTGTAGAAGTTCTATTGTTATTGGCAGACTATCCAGGCGTTGAAGGATCTTTAGGCGCTGGAATTAAAAGATTTTCTTCATTAATCAGGAAGTATTCATTTGATGAATGTATCAGTAGGCATTCTGAGACATGACACAGATTATATATGTTCAGGTCCTTTTTTATGGGTTCACCACACCACGAAGTGGTGTGGTGAAACCATATTGCTTTTTCTGATGTTTCTCCTCCTTCTCCTCCTGCCATATCTTTAAATGGATTCAGCTTCTTCATTTTAGGGCCTAAGGTCCTGAAATTTGGTATGGAGGTACAGTGGGCAAATACCCCTAGGCGTTTTTTAAATTATTGTGATACAGGCTTTTAGAATGGTTTTATTTGAGTTTTTTGGCTGTGTAATAGCTAATGTATTACTGTGTAAGTGTGCAGTGTTTACCACATTTGGACATGAGTCATCACAATGGCATGCAAGGCATCAACCAATAGGCATGCAGCTTTCCTCTATTCTCCTTGCTGATTGGCTGTTGGGATTTAACTGGCTTAACTTCATTTACACCTGCACAGAGCCATGCCATACTGACAGTATGTCTGTATTCAAGTGTTTTGGTAGGTATTTTAAGCTTTCCTGCTCCAGCATTGGAATGCGGGCTATGAACGCTTCTTTTTATCTTGAAAATCAACAGTTTGCATTATGCAATCCTAACCAATAATGTAGGGAATAGCTATCCAACTGTTGTAGTCTTAGTTGTATGTTACTTCATACTATAGTTATATCAATGTAAAGCATTGTTTTCCCTTGTGTTTCTCATTCTTTCCCTGCCATGTGGTAAAATGTGGTGAACCCATCGCTATATTTGCTCCAAAGCAAATATTGGCCTTTCTAGTTATTAATATATGTTTTTTTTTATAGAGTGAACTATCATTAGATTGTATTAGACAGTAGATTTTCTATATCTACCCCAAGAGTCAACTTTTTTTTTGCAGTTTGTAAATATTACACGTCAAACCTAAATTTTCGCTGGTCTACAAAAATTATGTACTGAATGTATCATATGTTTGGAACGCTCCTACACAGTGTTTGTGTTCGTTATCGAGTTTCTAGTAGTCAAAATAATTTCTGGTCTTGCTTGACGTATTCTTGAGCTGATCGTGGCCTCTAGTCTTCCCTACCTTGGAGGAATCGTCGCTGGTCAACAGTTTTTCCTGTAAATACCGGATTTTGCTCTCCATAGTCGCCATGTTGCCTCCTCCAACCCTGACCCGGAAGTGGACAGTGATGCAAGAAACTCCGTGACGTCACAAACGCGCCAAATTTAACTCCCCAAAAATATCATCCTGTTCCATAAATTCAAAGTTAAGAAATAAAAAGGGTCGTTTTTGTAAGAAACTGGTTAGAAATATTTTATGAAGGGAATAAGTGTGGTAGGTTGTTGCGTTTTCATGCGCGTGTGTGTTTTTCGCGTTTGGCTGCGGTTGGATCAGCTGATTTAAATGGCCAGCCGCCGGGGCACGTGTTCAGGGCACGAATGTTCGGCACGCACGGAATGACCGCTTTTGGAACCGTCCTGAGTAGCCCTGCTGCCGCGGACGGGCGCTAACATCCTCGGATCGGGGGCAGGATTCGAAGGTAAGTCCAAGAAACACACGCCGAACCTAAAGTCATTTGCTTTCTTCACTCCAAGACCTTCCTAGCTTCCTTTTAGTCAGACGGTACCATTTTCGTGTGGTGTAAAAAGTGACGCAAGCATATATGATAGCCGCGGTACAATCTTGGCTGGGTTGGCGGTTTCCTATTATAGCACGGTCGGACAAGTGTCGCATCTGGACACCCATTTAATACGTGATGACGAATATTATATCAAAACTGTGCTTAAAACGATTCAGAAATCAAATCTAGTAGTACAGATGCATCAGTATAAAACCGTTTAATATCTTTAAAATATAAATATGTAGGTTTTAAATTTAAATCAATTTTAACATCCACTGATGAGGATGAAAAGGATCGAATTCGGTTGTCCGTTAAGAAGAACGTGCTATGGTGACATGCCCCCCTCCCCCCTCCCTGTCCCGATATCTTAAACGTGGACACGAGGTAAATTTATTACTGTCTCCTATAGGACACAACTGCGCAGGCATTCAGAATCGTGATTTCATCGAAACTACGTACGTTTCACCATCTATAATTATTGATTATTATGTATTATAATTGGTAAATTCGTATGCTGTACAACGTGCATGAAAATGCACATAATATCTATACACCAATGAAATATTGCTTGTGAACAACTGTTACAATATATGGCTTTCTATATACCTAAAACAAGCGTATACAAGATACAGTTCAACTGAATTCTGTGGCCCAGACATGTATATGATACATAATATCTAATGATGCCATATCATTTTATAACTTTAAGCTACTAAACTCTAGCTTTATTATATGTGTTCTTGATTCAGAATTCGAAACAAAATATGAATATGAATATCCAAGTCAATATTATCTTTAGCTATTAATATGTGTCTTCTTGCTTAGAAAGTTCAGAATCTTACAGCAATGTTCTTAAGAATCTTAACCCCATTGTAAAGGTCAAATATAGATGAAACAAAATATAAGAATCAAATTTTTATATGCAAAACGCATATACCAACGCATGATGTAACTTTAACATGCAAGCAGACAGCGTATAACGGCTGAAACATATCTACACCCACGTATTAACCTTGATCTATCCATGCCCTCTTAACCCTGAACTATAAAACATATATCCTATAGACCATAGAGACGTTTCACCAACAGAAAACCTAGTCAGGGCTTGAAATACTGGGTGCTTGTGCACCTTACTGTACCCAGATTTGGAGCTGTGCACCCGATCTTTTTCTGTGGGTGCACCAGTGCACCCAGATATTTTCTTAGGTTTACGTATGTAAAGATGTTAAATGTATAGTAGTATACAGCATATTCGTAACATTTATCCAAGTGTCAGAAAAATTATAAAATCATTGTTAATGTAGTAATTTTCTTTAGAAATGAAATATAATTAGTTTTGCTGAAATTCTACTTATTTTATTTCATAATATGGCGCACCCCCAAAAAATGTGTGCACCCAATTCTTTAGGTTGGGTGCACCAGTGCACCCATTCCCAAAAATGAATTTCGAGCCCTGCTAGTGTATCTACAATTTTTATTGAGATGTTTTTCGTTGACCTGAAATGGTGAAAAGGACAGATGGGTAAACAAGCGACCACATCTGCCAAAAATTATTAATAGACATAACGGGGGATACCCAGATATGGGCGTTGCCTTATTAGACCGAAAAATTGTATTTTTTTAAAGTTAATACTCCATTAGAATATTTCATATCTCAACCGGACCTATCGTCGATGATGTATCATTTTGTAATAGATAGCTTACAAGCCATGAATAATGGAGAATAGATTGGACATCTCTTAGAGTAGAGAGCAATATTTGGCTGATATGTATTCAACGTGCAGTGTAGAGGACTTCTGTGCCAAGATTGGTACGATAGACGCCCAGCAGTCGTAAAGTTATTTTATTGACTGTAAGAAGGGACGTCGGTTCCAATACTCCAGAATCAATAACTTCATCAATTTCCATATGTCTATTAGCGACAACTTACACGATCGTTAGAACATGTATGATACCACTCATAAAAATCATAACCAGTTTCCCGTTACATAATTACCTAATTGTGGAGTATAGAATTGATGATTAAGCCCAATCAGCTCAAATTATGATTTCTTTCGCACAAAATGCTTCTATCGAATTTTTTATGAGAAGAATATCGGAAATATTATTGCGCAAGACATTTTCGGGTGTTCGCTGTCGTTATCTTTCACGATCATCCAGTGACGTCACGGAAATCTGTGCACAAGTGATAGATTGTGTACACGTAGTATCGACCTTGGCCTGGTGATAACTGGACTAAATATGCTGATGAAACAACAGTCGGCATATAGAATGTTGTATTTGGCGTGTATCATACTATATCTATCTGCTGTATGGGCAAGTATTCATGATTTGGCAAGGGTGAATTTGGCCTGGACTTGACCCATTTTGTCTAAAAATAGACTAGGTCACGATGAACTAACAGTTCTGAACTGTAGACAGGCATTAACACATGGGTAGTGTTTACATAGAGAGCTTAGGTTCAACATCAGCACACACGTAAACCCTTTGAGAGCCCACACTATTATCCTCACAGTTATTGCACTATATGCATAAATATTAGTATGTCTGACTCTGCGATATCATTGTATGAGATTGCAAATATACAATGTGGTAACATATGCAACTTGTGGGTCTTTTTAGATTTATGGGGTCCAACTCAAAACGACTAGAACAAATTCAACGAGCCTATGGCAAATTTCAAACTCGCAACCTAAAGACCGGACGCTGAATCAGTGACAACTGAATATAATCTATCGGAATAGTTTTCTATAAAGCTGCAGATATATAGTACATGTGGACTTTATTTCATGCTGAACGCAATCGGCTTTGCCAGTTCTAGTACGTAGTCCATCTTCGAGTTATTTTCCGGTTCTAGTACGTAGTCCATCCCTACGAGCCATTTGCCGGTTCTAGTACGTAGTCCGTCCCTACGAGCCATTTGCTCGTTGTACGTAGTCCATCCACACGATCTAAATTTGCCGGTTGTAGTGCGTAGTCCATCCCTATGAGCTATTTTGCTGGCTCTAGTGGCGTTGACTACTAGAACCGGCAAATAGCTCGTAGGGATGGATACCAGGCTAGTATGAGTCTTCAGTGGCTCGTAAATATGCGCTAGGTTGTTAGCCTGGTTACCAAAGCTATTTTAGCTACTGAGTCTCTTTCGTCCTTTTAAGGACGATAAATATCAAAATATTTTTCTCAATGGACTCGGCAGCTAAATAGGTTTTTCATTGCTGTAACTTATGAATAGACTTTAAAATCTTTGCCTGTTGTATCTCCAGGCTTTGCTGCTTGAACCATGGCACCGAAGAAGAAAAGGGGTGCAAACGGCAAAACCTCCCGCCCCAACTCCCCCCGGCCCCTCCCCAACTTCGAACACCACGGCAAGGAGATCTCCAGCGGTTCCCATGGCGACCGCATCCTGCAGGGACTCAACAGGCTGAGGAACGACCGGTTGCTATGTGACGTCACCGTCGTCTGCAAGGGGAAGACGTTTGACGCACACAGGGCCGTCCTGGCGTCATGCAGCGACTACTTCCGGTCTGGAACTTTTCTGTCTTGGGCCAATCTTAAGTCTCCACCAGACTTCTTTTGCGGGCTGAATAAATCGTAGAAATCGGCCTAAAAGGGTATTAATTGGCAAATAGAGCTTCTCTGGCCGGCTACCTTCTCTTGCCAATTAATACCCTTTTTAGGCCGATTTCTACGATTTATCCAGCCCGCAAAAGAAGTCTGGTGGAGACTAGGCCAATCTAACCTGGTGTCCAGTCTATCGTGGTTGGGTTAGGCTGTCTTCGGGGCTCTAATAGTTTTCCCCCGCCCAGTACAACAGGCCGCCCGGTAGGAGTGTAACGCTAATAGAGTTTGGCACGGCGGGAGTTCATTTGCCCCACAACGAATATGATCGTGGTGGGCCTAATCAAACTCCTGCCGTGAAAACCCTACCGGGGAACCTAGCTCAGGCGGGCGGGGAAGAGCTTCTGCAGCCCCGAAGAAAACCCACCCAAACAGCGATAGACTGCATACCAGGGTATTGTAAGAAAGCGGCTGATTTCGAAGCAAGCGGGCTAATTTTCTTACATTTCAATCTCAAAACTCTTCTACACCAGAAACCCACAAGGTCTGTTTTCCAAATATATCTTTAAGATGAATTATTTTGCAGCTACGACATTTTAGCGAGTTACATTATTCTAAAAGAAGGGACGTCTTGTGAATTATGACGTCTGCCCTACAGGTCCAACTTCGTCGGGGACGCCAACAACAAGAACAACGACGTGTTCGAACTGCACGGGCTGTCCGTCCAGGGCGTGTCCATGGTCATCAACTACGCCTACACGGGGAAGCTGCACCTGACGGTCGGGAGCGTGGGCAGCACCATCGCCGCCGCCAGCTACCTCCAGATGCCGGCACTGGTCAAGCAGTGCTGCGACTTCCTCATGACGGACATCACGGTGGAGAGCTGCATCGACATCGCCAACATCGCCTCCTCGTACGACCTCAAGTCCGTCAAGGACTTCGCAGAGAAGTAAGTCTTTTCATTGTATAATTTTCAAAACATATAAAATACAAGGTTTATTCCACCATTACCCTGGAAGCCAGAACTCGTTTTCCGGGCCGCAAGAGCCCTTCGCCCGCTGGTGTAAATTACCGCTACGGGGGAGTCTAGCCCGGGGGGAGTTTGGCTGGCCCTACAAACGAATAGTAATCCCCCGTAGCGGTAATTTAGGTAGGCGGGCGAAGGGCTCTTGGCTGCCGAAGGAAAACGGCTAACGGCCCGATACTAGTTGGCATCCAGGGTATTCCACCATACGACTATATGACCTCATGTATGAGTCAATGTCTCGTTTTTACACCATTAATTAACGTTGTCCAGTAATATTCTTGGCACTCCTTTGACAGTATACAAAGGGTACTACTGTACTGTATACTAGTATCTGTGGATAAACATATTTTAGATAATACCCATGCCACAAATGAAACCCGTGACCCGTGAGTCTACAATGGCACCTGCAATGTAATTATCCGAGTTTTATGAAATAGAGACCATAGATAGTGGATATTATTTCAGTTTTTGCATAGAACGTAAAAGACGAGATTATCATGTGTCACTTATGTACAAAAATCTCAACGATCGACCTGATAAGTCTAATCTGAATGTTCCTTTCTTCATCGTCATCATCATCTGGTCGAACTCCTTTCTTCACTCACCAGATACATCCTGGAAAACTTTGTTGCCTTCTCGGACGGTGAGCAGTTCCAGCGGCTGAGTGTGGACCAGCTGTGTGGGTTCCTAGGTGGGTTTGGTCCTTCTGACAACACTATGACTTTACAGCATGTGTACTAGTATGAAAGCTCATTAGACTTGGTAAATTACATAATGAGAAATAAAGCAGTACTGTTCTCCAACTCACAACAGAATTTGACTCACCGAAATTTTCGACCATATCTCACGGTCACCATCAGCTATTTATCCCGTGTGCTGCAGACACGTGATTTTTTCTGCATGGGTGACGTCAGCACTGGGTCAAAGTTCATCGGAAGTCGGTACCGCCCCCCCCCGTCCCGGTTGGCATATGCTTTGTGGGCCTGTCATCTTGAAAGGCTGTGTGTGTGTGTGTCTGTGTGTGTGATATACATATTTACGTACAGTAGCTTTATATTGAACGCCCAGATTAAAAGAATAGGGGTGCGTGAAAAAACAAACATTTGAACTAAAGTTCCCGAAGAGACCTTCACACAGATAGGCAAGTAGCATCCATCTATAGCTGGATAAACTTAACGGCTCGCAGGGGACTGAGATGTTTCTAGAAAGATCGATGTTACCGTCAGCCAGAACGATATTGAATTTTATTTCACGTCTCATATATACTGATACGTCATACTCTTCACCAGGTAACGATGACCTCCTGCTGCACCCTGAGTTGACGGTGTTCCAGATCGCCCTGAAGTGGTTAAACCATGACCCCAACACGCGCATGCAGCACGTGGCCAAGGTAGGGCATAGCTCAGTTCAGGTAGCCCATCAGGTGACACTATGCATGGCAATATTTTGTGCATAACAGATAGGAGGTCTCTGTTTTCTAGCACTCTGTCCTCTTCAATGAATTTCTTCACTAATTGTCTACAACGATGCTGTGAAATGTTCTTTCCGTACTATTATTATATTCCTAACATTTAACGTTATTTCAAGTCAAAGTCCTAAGATTGCTGTCTACACCAAGCTGGACACGTGTAATATTGCATTTGATGTAAAATATCAATGGATGTATAATAGTGAAAATATGTAGTGGCTGCAACAAAAGTCTGCAGTTAAAGGATTAAGGATACAACTTCCGGCAGTTTTCTTGGAGTGCAGGTCTGGTTCATGACAATTATATCAAAGTTACAAGTCACTCTACTCCATCTTTGCAACATTTGTGCTTCCTTAAGGTCATGGGTCACATCCGGTTCCCGATCATCCCAGCCTCCGACCTCGTCCAGCACGTGCAGACGGTTCCTTTCATGATGAGGGACCCTGACTGCCAGGCCGCCCTGGTGGAGGCCATGAACTATCACCTGCTGCCTCACCAGCAGAACGTCCTCCAATCACGGAGGACCAAGCTCAGGTCAAAGGTAAGGAAAGGTCATGAACTATCACCTGCTGCCTCACCAGCAGAACGTTCTCCAGTCACGGAGGACCAAGCTCAGGTCAAAGGTAAGAAAAGGTCATGAACTATCACCTGCTACCTCACCAGCAGAACGTCCTCCAATCACACAGGACCAAGCTCAGGTCAAAGGTAAGGAAAGGTCATGAACTATCACCTGCTGCCTCACCAGCAGAACGTCCTCCAATCACACAGGACCAAGCTCAGGTCAAAGGTAAGGAGAGGTCATGAACTATCACCTGCAGCTGCTACCTCACGAAGGTTATGAGATACACAAGCAACTGGATAGGTTTTGGAAACAGAAGTTTCAAGTAGCATCCACTACTTTTGTTCGTGACTGTCACCGATGAAAAGTAGTGGATGCTACTTGAAACGTCTGACAGTTGCCCAAACCTATCCAGTTGCTTGACAGCAACAATTCCTTGTGGATTATACAGCTTGACAATGTTATCATGTCATCCTAATCTGCCTAATCTCTGTCCCTCTGCTCCCCAGTCGCGGGTCCTGGTGACAGTAGGCGGCAAGCCTCCCCAGCTGGACCAGCCTCTCACACGCAGAGTCAACATGCTGGACACCAAGACCTCCACCTGGCACCACCTGACAGACATGGTAGGTTCAGCCAAACATAGGCGAACGGCAGGATAGGCTGAACTTGCATGCTGCGCGGTTGGAAGATGGTAGGTTCACTTAACAATGTGCGATCAGAACTGTATGTTCATGTATCTCTATACAAACTATTAGCAGAGTTGCCGTCCCTGCTTCCTCTTACTACATGACAGATGTGAATCTCCAAGTAGATCCATTGCCAATGGTGGGAAGGCAGCATCCATTGGCCAGAGGAGTGTCTATGTTGGCTAATATCTTGCCACCGTAGGATGTCCTTAAATATAAGATATTTAATGTAAAATTATAAAAATATAAGATAATTAAGATATTAAATGGCTAACTGTGGTTGAACAGCTATTTACAAAAAAAATGCTACTTGAAACATGGCAACTCCGTTGGCTTGGACATGTTTACGGAATGTCAGACGGGAGAATTCCAAAGGACCTGTTGTATAGTGAACTTGCCAACGGGACATGAAAGATGAACATGAGAGAAACTTGCAACAAACAGAACGCTACCATCAGGACTCAGACACTCTAAGCCTAAAAACAAGATAAGTACATGGTGTAAAAATAATACCTTTTATGATCTTACCAAACCGAGGAATGCCTACCTAACTACTTGAAACATTGACGTGACAGTTTTCGAAATCTATCCAGTTGCTTGATGTGTGTATCTCATTACCTGGATGTCTAACGTTCAAGGACGTCTGTCTGTGCAGGTTTGTAAAAGCGGTCATCAGGCGGCAGTGGTGATGGACAACTTCCTGTATGTTGTTGGTGGGGAGGACCAGTACGACGCCTCTAACCAGGCCAAACACAGCGTCAACACGGCAGTCAGGTGGGCAGGCAGCAATCTACTAGCAGATCTTACGGTGGCTGCAATACAGTAGCAAATTGGCAAGACAGTATAGAACAAGAATTCGGAGATCTCATACTCATTTTACACAGTACACTACAGTACAGAACAAAATAAAATCAGGCTGTAATAGATATGGTACATGTAGCCTATTCCAGAGGGAGAACCTCATTAATCAAACTGGGCAGGGCACCCGAAACCTGATAGGGGCTATAAAATCGGTAAACCTGTATCAAATTGTATTTACAACACAGTATGAAATTGGCAACACAGTATCAAATTGGCAATACAGCATCAAATTGGCAATACGGTATCAAATCGGCAATAGAGCAGGACAGTATCAAAATTGATCAGGCAGTCTCCAATACGACACCCATAAGAAAGATACCAGTGCAAAAAAAAGAATGCCCGATAAGCACACCAAAAATAAGCTAGCACTTCTACGAGATCCAACCACAGTCTTGCAGGTGGTTAAATGTTTCCAAATCTCCTCAGTATGGTCTACTAACAAGTCTTTGACCACACAGATACGACCCCAGGTCCAACACGTGGGTGCAGCTAGCGCCCATGATGGAGAGACGCACGCACTTCCACGTTAATGCTGTGTCAGGGCGCCTCCTGGCGGTAGGAGGCAGGAACGCAGGTGAGACTTTTACTACCTTTTTAAAGTGTATGAAATGTGCATGGAAGTCGATATCGGCCGCCGTCCTGATTCAACGTGCGCTGGCCCCAAAGAACGACAAATGTCAACTTTCGGCTTTGTTTGCTCAGTTTTTATCCCAGGGGCCAAAGAATTCATACGAATTTTAGAGAATTCATACGAATTTTACAGAATCCAAGCGAATTTTATGAAAAAAACATACGATTCATTACAAGGAAACATACGATCCTCACTAATTTGGTGACCTGTAGATCACCAAATTAGAAAGGATCGTATGTTTCCGAGTAATGGATCATATGGATTCCGTAAAATTCGTGTCTTTCTGGTAATGACTCGTATGTGTTTCGTGAAATTCGTATGTTTCCTTGTAATAAATTGTATGTCTTTCAAAAATTCGCATGGATTCCGTAAAATTCGTATGAATTCCGTACAATTCGTATGAATTCTTTGGCATGCACCCCTGTATCCGCTTAGCCGTACCCTTTTTTACTTAGTGGTCGCCACGTAACACGGCCATCGGGCCACTTCAAAGCTAAAGAGGTAATGTAATCTTGTTGATATCATTGGCAGAAAGCATACAACTGACATAATATTGTGCTGTGCACCGTTCCAGGCGGCACACTGTCCTCTGTGGAGATGTATGACCCTGCGAAGAACGAGTGGACGTACGTGTCCAACCTCCTGTACCCGCGCTGCTGCCACGCCGGGGCTGTACATGGGGGGCTCCTGTACATCGGCGGAGGGTACGTATCTCACCTAACAGCGCAGTCCTTTTAGACCATAACAGTTACTGTAATGATCAATGGAAATAAAATAATAAATAGACTAAAGCAAATGCATAATGTTATATCTTCGCATATGGTCTACTCTGTTAATTCTTACTCAAGCACATTCATATATAGATTATATAGGTTGACAGGAGTCTAAATCCCTTCTGCTATAAAATTGCAACATTATGTAACCCAACACTAGTTACCATGGTGACAGACGTCTGGTTCAGGTCATTGACCTTATTGGTTTGGAGAAGAGGAAACAGCAAAAACAATAGGTTCTTCTTTGGTAAACATAATAAACCATCAATGTAAGTTGGTGTGGCCTAAAGTAAAAACAAACAAAAAATATATATTGCAAACAAATCTCTGCACATTTCCAGGTACATCGGCGGGACGTACTCTCGGTCCCTGATCTGTTACCGCCTGTCTGAGGACAGCTGGAACGACCGGACGTCCATGAGCCAGCCGCGGGGCTGGCACAACATGGTGACGGTGGGAGAGAAGATCATCGCGATGGGAGGCAGTCAGCTGAGCGGGAAGGGCGACAGAGTGGACGTCATGCATGTGGAGAGCTACAGGTGAGAGGATAGCATATTTCCAAAGACAATGAATGAATAGCAAAGTTCTTTGATCACAACCATTTATTTTTACGAGCCGACGTTCGATGACCGTCTGTGATCTTCATCAGGGCAATTCTGACTGGTCATGACAGACGGTCATCGAAACGTTGACAATATTCTTTTGTAATCTTTACGTTGTTGGTAGACAATATTGGCAGGAATCTTTACGTTGTTAGAAAATGTTGGCAGGAATTTTATGTTGTTCTTAGTCAATGTTTGCAGTCTCTAGTGTCACTGACGAAAGGTAGTGGATGCTACGGTTTCCAAAATCATATCCAGTTGCTTGAGTAACTGTTTTTGGCGTATCCTATTACCTGGATGTCTAACCTTCACTCACTTAATGTTGGCAATAATCTTTACATTGTTGTTAGACAATGTTGGCAGTAATCTTTGCGTTGTTGTTAGACAATGTTGGCAGTATAAGCTGAACGTTTCCTTTTTGTTCCCCGTTAGCCCGCTGAACGACCAGTGGACGGCCCTGTCCCCCATCCTGTCGGGAGTGAGTACAGCAGGCGCCGCCGCGGTGGGCACCAAAGTCTACGTCTGCGGCGGCTGGAGCGAGTCTACCAGGCAGTACCTGAAGGCCGTGCAGTGTTACGACGTTACCCGGGACGAGTGGAGCTGGGCGCCCGAGATGAGCGGCCCTCTGGTCGCGGTGTCCGCGATAGCCCTGACCGTGCCCGTAGATCGAGTGAAAACTGGTTACCAGTTCGGAACGGAGTCGAAGTGAATGGAAAAAAAAAGAGATAAAAGCAAAATCGCTTCAATACGGTGTAACGAAAGGAAGATACAAACTGTACCAAATGTACGGAAACTTTCCAATGGTTTCTACTTTCGCATATCAGTTGATAATGTCCAATCGTTTTAATTAAATCCGCAAGTAGGAAGAAAGCATATTTAATACTTGTTGCAATGATAAGGAAGAGTTTAAATTTGTTTTGGTCTGCGTGAATAAAAGTCGACACACATCATGACACATGGGATGACTGTGGACCAGTGTAATCTCTCATCACTTTTGGAGTCATAACTCGGAGAGGGAGAGTAATGACAAGAACTAAGATATTTTTGGGTACATTCTAAGGCTGGAAAGTAAAGTGGAATGACAGGGAAAGCTTTGGGGAAGCACCACGGACTAGAAAGTGCATTGTAGGCAAAATTGACCGATGGTAATGTGACAAATATAGCTAATACAATGGACCATTGAAATGATCAATGTAATAACAGCAACAACAGAAGGAAGCAAAGGAGAGAAAGGCAACAGGAGTAAAAGAAGATAAAGGGCAAGAAATTATGTACGGAAAGAAACAAAAAAGACAAAGAAAATAGCTCTTGGAATAGTTGATGACCGATGAGACACTCTATTTAATTCTTTTTTTTTTCAAATCGGCTTGCTGGCCACTTGCCATTGACGGAAGAGGTCAGGGTCAATCTATCGGCAACAATGCTCGGAACACCGCCTCCCGAAACTCCGCCCATCTCCTGGTCTTCTGCCCCTGGGAAGAGTCGGTGAACTCCTCGTTGTCTATGACGGTGCAGCCCTCCAACTCCCGTGGGCCGGGGTAATGTTTGTACACCACCGCCGCTACACGCCCGTGGCCCCTCTCCCTCACCAGTCGGCGTGTCTTCTCTGTGTACTGTAGACAGTTCCTACAAGACGGAATAAGATTATCATTAAGTATGACGTAGTTGATTTATTTACGGCTAGCTAGCCGCTACCAGGCTCCGAAAGCGGCTGAAAAAGGTTGAAATTGACCATGGACAGATGACATATGCCAGGGGAGTTGCAAAAGCAGTACTAGTACTTTTGCCTCACCCAGTGCGAAGCCTGATAAAGACTATTTTACGGCTACCTCCAGTCACATTTTGGGAACACCCAAAGTTCTCTGTCAGAAGCTGCGTACTGGTATGAGATACAAGTAACTTATGTACTGGTTATTATCTATCTAACAGACATTGCGTAGGGAAAATAACCTGGCCCCTGTTTATTTCTGTAAGTATGCTCCACCCTTAAAAAAAGTACAGAACTATGCTTTTCGTTTTCCACTATTCCAACATCGTTAATTCTACAGAATGTTGTTTATGAGGACGCCTAAGCTTGTCCAACGTAAGGTTGTTATAGGTATATATATTACCTGGCGTACGTCAAAGTTAAGACGTGTAGAACGCTGCATGAGCGAGACAGACACCTTTCAATGTTGTCCATCGGGAACAACCCGGGCTCGAAGTCTCTTGATTCATAACAGCAATGAAGACCGCAGTCAACCTCGATCAGTTTCACCAGCTCATCTGCTTGGGTCTGATCCTTGGGGTCGTACATGACAAACACGCTGTAGCGACAACTGTGATCGCCAGGTGGCGCTATGACACCGTGAAACGTCTCGCGATAAACATCACTTGCGATGACTTCGCTGACGCCCGCTTGGATACGAGCAACAGCTAGATTACATTCTGTAGAACGATTCCGATCTACAGTGCCGCCAAAAGCTGTAACAAGCGTTCGGTACACTTTTGCTTCACAGAAGTCGTTGTTTTCGTCGCACGTTTCCACAAGCTGACTGAGATATTCTTGCACTTGTTCCGTTGTGGTGACTGAGGACGGGAAGGGATAGTGTTTCAACACTGGCAGGTATCTTACCGACGTTGTAGCGAGTTCTCCGCTAGGGTTTTTCTCTCGGCCCAGGAGAATGTCGCAGACTGAAACCTTGCATACGTCCTGTGCCACCATCTCTGTCACGCACATCCCCAACACCTTACACAGCAGTAGTTTTCCACGGGTGATATCGCCTTGATCCAGTAGGTACAACCCCCACAGCTCCAGAACATTGCGAGAACACTTCCGAAACTGTACCGATCCATCGCCCGTACGGAGCGCCTGCTCCAAAACGCCGAACACTTCCGAAGGATCCGTGCCAAGGGAGTACTTAGCTCTCGCAAGATCTTTCAGGATCAGATAGCGAGAAAATCCTCCTAGCTCAAGAGCTTTTACGAAGTACTCTTTTGCTTTTTTCAGTAGGAGGCTTTTGCCATCTTTCAAGACAAGATTCCCTGCCGCAGTTAGAATTCGATCGACCTGCCCTCTTCTTATGGCGTCCGTCTTTGGGTCGACTTTTAGGACGCAATCGGCGTTCTTTAACCCTGCAGCGCCTCCTGGCGATTTGAGAACGCGTTGCAGATTTGCATGTGGCTCCGAAGGTGTGGGTTTTACGCTGTGCCAGATCCCAGTGTCGCCTCCACCTGTCTGTGTCCTACTCTTTGAGACACTTGTCTGAGACGTCCAAATATCGGCTTGAGACTTTTTCGCCGATGACTTAAGACGTGGCTTGGCGTCTTTGTTCCTTGTAGGCCTATAAGGCCTGGGTTTCTTAGAAGATGCCCATTTCTCTAGGTAGACCAGCCCGACTTCATGATATGCAAATGAAGTTGATCTCAGTTCTATGGCTTGTTCCAACGTTGCAATGGCAGCGCTAAATTTCTTACAAAGTCTCAGATGACACCCTAGTCTTTCTAAGACGAACGCATCCTTCCCCTGTGCGATGTCTTTAGCTTTGGCGAAACAGACTTCTTCAGTCAAATGTGACGCCATTTTCTTCATCAAATCCTGTTCCGGTACGGACAGAAAGCGGAAATACTTCACTTGCGTCTCCCCTAGCAACAGCCACGCCCTAGCAACCATCTCCATGGTTTCCTCTGCGACCACGCCTAGAAACAAGTCTCTTGCCCTTCCGTAAAACGAGTCCGGATCAAAACCTTCTATCTGTACACAGACGTCTTCACTCAAACACTTAGACAGCAACAAGCCAAGGCCAAACTTAAGAACCAATCCACACTCTGTGTCTAAGACTGGGCAAGATAAGGCGGTCTCGTAGAGTTCAATTCCTTGTTTGAAATACTTCGGTCCGAGTTGTGAGCAGCAAAACGCCTTTTCACCCAACGCTATCGCCTTCCTCAACCCAACCTCCTCTTCTGTTGTCTTCCCCGGGGATATCTCGTCCTCAAATTCCTCCAGGACAATCTTGGCCTGTGTAAGGCGGTTGTGGTCCAAGAGAATGTAGCCTCTTGTCGTAAAAGCCACGATGTTCGATGGATCACGGTCCTTCACTCTCCCAAGACACCCCTTCGCTTCTTTGGTCATGTTTAGCTTGAAGTACAGAAATCCGAGCATATTATCCACCTGGTTTTGTAAAACAGATGGCGAGGAGTCTTCTCTCTTGCGCTCGACTTGGTGCAGGAGTCTGATCAGGTCTGTTTTTCTCCACTCCCCGATCCCAAGGTCGGCCAAGTTGGGGAAAGTTTGAAAACGGCGCCATAACTGCCTCGCTTCCGGGTTATAAAAAGTCGTTTGCATTTTTAAAATGTTCCTTACAGTTACGCCCTGTATCTTTCAAGTTTTCTTCGTGATAAAAAAAGACATGGTTCACGTCTTCTAGACGCCTATCCAGTGACAATATAGCATGAAAACACCGCCAAAGTTGGGAGAACGAGAAGAAAACTAACTTTTTCGTCCATCTTGTATCCAGTAGAATATGCGACTATAACAAATAGGGGCGTATGGAAAAATGGAAACTAATAAACCATGTCTATACGTTTCTTAAAAGTTCTTTAACTTCATTTTTCAGTAAAATATTAGAATAGTAGCTTTATTCGATCATTCATTCATATTCATGTGCAGATTAAACATCTGTAAAAGAAAGTTGTTCTGTGAGTCCCTTTCCTACCTAAATCCAAGTGGCAGATTCCGTTCTCGTCACTTCGTAAATCTCGCTAGAACCTGCGAGACTTTGATCAGACGCCCCACGAACGATAGGCAAGATGGCCACACAAGTAAATCCCAACATAAAGAAGAAACATTTTATCGGCGTTCCAAGTCCTCTTGGATACGTCCCGGGCCTTGGAAGAGGGTAAGACACTTTTGTTACTCCTTCTAGACGTCTTTGAGCCAATTTTGATTGAAATTCATCGCGTTTTCACAGCTGTACGCAACGCCAAATTTGAGAACCCGAGTGTGCTGGAAATTTTTTTTTCAGTGCGGATCCGGATGCCTTTTTTCAGTGCATGGTTCTAGAAAGCCAACATACTAATAATTTTAGAATCTTTACTGTTTGTATTTACTTGTTTGTTTGTTTGTTTCCCCACAGAGCCACTGGTTTCACCACCAGATCTGATATCGGTCCTGCCCGTGACGCCACAGATGTTGTGTAAGTCTTCATTAAATCAACATGTCATAACCTTCAGCATTTTCTTGAAAAAAAAGTGGTCAAATTACAACTACAGTCATAATTTATTATCCACAATTCTCTTACATTTGTATTGCAAGTATTGGCAATGACCTAATGTTGAGAATAACTGTATCACTAATATGTAGCCAAGTGCAAAAGATGACATAAAGAAATAACCATTGTAGTGTTATAGTGATAACACATAAGCTACATGAGCATAACTTGTTAGCACACTAAGTAAAGTAGTTTGGCTACCAATTTTCTATTCATTGCAACTTGGGCAGAAGGGAGAAGGTTACCAGTAAATTAAAATCAAACAATAAAATTAAGACACTTTTAAAAACAATGATATTCTAAGGACTGTAATGCAATGAAAGAAGCCCAAGTTTACTTTCTTTATTATGTTTACCAAAGGAAAAAATATTGTTTTGCTGTTTCCTCTTATTCTTCTTATCCACACCAATTAAGTCAATGACCTGAACCAGATGTCTGTCACCATGGTAACTAGTGTTGGGTTACATCATGTTGCAATTTTATAGCAGGAGGGTTTTAGACTCCTGTTACTACATATGACTTTGTTTAAGAATTACTTAGCAGACCATATGCAAAGGTAAACATTATGCATTTGCTTTGCAAATGTTATCTTTCTGATTTCCCATGAATATGATGATGAAATTATCGTTGTTCCCAGCGACGACCGCCACGCCCCTCCGGGAAAGCGTACGTTTGCGGCGCAGCACGCGGCACAGAAGGCGAAAAACCAGGAGGAGGAAGAGGAGGAGGAGGATCTGAATGACTCCAACTATGACGAGGTATTGTTTAATAAAGGGTTAATGCCCTGCCCAGAGGTGTATATGGTGAGATAATCCCTGGTCAGGTGCGATAACCACCGAATAAACCACCGAGTGAGCAGGGATTATCTCACCATATACACCGACGAAAAGGCGGAGCATACAGTGTGTCAAAAATTATGTTTAGTCTTTTTTCTGTTTAAATTTCTGTAGATGTCTGTGCACAGATTATACTGTACATATATAATTTCCTCTAATTGTCAATGCATACTTGTCTGTAACAAAACTATGTACCTGTATACAGTATGGTAAAAAAGAAAATTACCTTTTGATATCCTTGAACAGATTTTTGACATGCAATGTTTGTCAATCCTTGTCTGTTGTCTCTAATATGACCATGATACTCCAGTTTGCAGGATATGGAGGCAGTCTGTTTGCCAGCGGTCCGTATGAAAAGGACGATGAAGAGGCTGATGCCATCTACGAGGCCATTGACAAAAGGATGGACGAAAAGCGCAAAGAAAGGAGGTCAGCATGACAGAAAATCTCACTACAGTCTGTGTTAATTATGTTTACCAAATCAAAGGAAAACATATTGTTTTTGCTCTGTTTCTTCCTCTTCTTCTTCTCCAAACAGTGACCTATGACCTGACCAATGACATGATTTGTTGACGCCTGTCACCATTGTGACTTGTGTTGGGTTACATAATGTTGTAATTTCATGGTCTGCTCTGCTCCTGTCACCATATAAAATATACTAGTACTACATGTATGTGAATGTGTTTGAGTAAGAATTAAGAGAGCAGACCATGTCCGAAGGTAAACATTATGCATTTGCTTTGCAAATGTTACTTCTCTAGTCTTATGCTAGCTTTGGTTTGCTTCTCTGTGTCTGATAGCTTTTCTACAGAATAATGTTATTATTGGTTCCTTAACTTCTGCTTAATTACTCCTTGATTCCTTGTTTTCCAGAGAACAGAGGGAGAGAGAAGAGATCATGAAGTATCGTCAGGAGCGACCCAAGATCCAGCAACAGTTTGTCGACCTGAAGGTAAAACAATCTGTAATTTGAGTATGGGTCAAGCAGGTGTTAATTTGAGCCCTTCTTCAACTGTGAACACTTTTAAATCTTCTGTGAGCATATCCATTTTCCGCAGACTGAAATTTTGCAGCTGTGAAGACAAAATGAATTACATTTGTCGAATGAATTGCATTTGTCGATTTGCCAGTGTGTCCTGATGATTCTTACGTTGTTTTACTCCAGAGAAAACTGTCAGATGTGTCTGACGACATGTGGAACAGCATTCCGGAAGTCGGCGACGCTCGCAACAAGAGACAGCGTAACCCCCGCCACGAAAAGTATGAAACTTTTCGTCTATATAGATGTATTTTGAGTACATGCTTATGAATTCGTTTGGACTTAAATCATTTAACCCGTATGCTGTTACACTTTGTCCGACTCTGACCTCTTAACTCATGTGAGTACTTTATGAATAAACAAAGACTCAAACAAACAAACAAGCAAACAAACAAACAAACACCTCATATTGTGCTAATCTTGGACTTAGTGAAAGTATTTGACTTAAGTATCTAGTTTACTATAAGAATCCAGGATCAGTATTATTGATGGGGTTAATACCCTTGAATGCCACAGTTAATGAAAGTTTGGGTTGTGTAATTTTAACTTTGAGGATATTTGATAAAGATACAGCAACTTGTAGTCAAATGTCGACGACTAAGCTTGGCCGGTCATGTAATACGTAGTGAAGAACCAGCCAGTAGGCTTCTACTCTGGAACCCTGATACCTGTAAGAGAAGAGTTGGACGCCCAAACATAACAGTTAAGAAACTTATTGAAACTGAAACTGGCTTGGAGGGACATGAACGTTTCTCAGTGATGTATGACAGACAGTTGTGGCGATCTAACTTTGTATGCTCCACCTCTACGGAGGATGAATGATGATGATGATGATGATGACAGCAACTTGTTGTGATCTCTCTCATTTTCTTGACTTTTCCGTTAGACTGACTCCTGTGCCAGATACTTTCTTGGCTAAAGCAGCGATGTCAACTGGACATGTTAACGCACTGGACCCACGTCAACAGGTAAACAATACAGGGCTGTCTCTTAGTAATGGAATAAAAGTGCTGTACCACTGTATTACCATGTATATCAATGTTTTACTTGAGCAAGAGAATATAAGATATCCAACAGTGGCAGTCAATAGGCTACATTACTGCCTGACATTATAACGCTTTATAATCTTATCATTAAGCAAAAAATTTTAGTAGTTACGATAACATACATATAAATGATAAATTTTCAAATTTACATAATTTTGCACAAGTTCACTGTTGGGCAGTTTGTAAGTTTAGATAATATTGCTTGAATTCATAAATTTTGGGTCCAGACAGAGTAGGTTGACAGCACATGGGTTGGGGAAGATTGACAGGCAGAATGTCAGGAGGTCAAAAGGTGTCAGAGTCTGACTGGACATGGGGAAATTCAGGAAGCCAAAGATTACATACTTTCTGCATAAGTCTGAAATTTCTGATTATGTTTACCGAAGGAAAACATATTGTTTTTACTCAGTTTCTTCCTCTTCTGTTCCAAACACTAACCTCTGACCTGGCCAATGACATGAATTGTAGATGTCTGTCACCATGGTGACTGGTGTTGGGTTACATAATGTTGCAATTTCATGGTCTGCTCTACTCCTGTCACCATATACTGTAGTACATATATGTAAATGTGTTTGAGTAAAAATTAACAGGGCAGACCATGTCTGAAGGTAAACATCATGCATTTGCTTTGCAAATGTTACATTTTCTAGTTTATTGTTAAATTTGGAATTTTTCTCTCCCCTGGGACAGCATATGGGTGGTTTCACGACCCCCTACCCTGGGGGGATGACCCCGGGGGTAAGTACCCCCTGGGGAGCAGCTACTGAGGTGGACTGGAGGAAGATTGGGGAGGCCAGGAACACCCTCATGGACATCAAACTCAACCAGGTCAGGAATGGAGACATAGATAACATTTTACTCACTTCAAAATTAAACATTAAAATTGCTACATTTTGCATGGTCTTGTGTTAAAATTGAAGTACGGTATAGGATGTTTGAAAGTAAAGTTTTCATGTTTTTAGTTAAAGTTTTTTTTCTCATCAACATTTTAGTAGCTTTCACAGGGTTGAAAATACATAAAGCATATATGCACTTTTGTGCACCTAAAATTGGAGCTGTACACTTAAATTTTCACTGGGGGCACCTAGATATTTCTGTAGGGTCACGTATGTAAAGGTACTATTGGATACTAGTATACAGCATGTTTTGTGAAAAAAATCAGAAAACCTTTGCTTTCTTACAGTGTACGTTTTTAAACTTGGAAGTTAGCCAAAGAATTTCAGATTCAAGCTCTAACAAGTAAAATCTGAGATTTTATACCTCCCGGCTTTTTATATAGGTTTTAAACAAAGAATTTGTCGAGACCGGACACCCCTCTGTGTGAGGGGTCATATACGTGGACCAGACCGAGAATAGCTTAAACACGCCAAAGGTCAACGGTCGCGACCACTTTCACACTCAAAGGGGTGTTTTGGGGCCACCAAAAGGCACCATTTTCACGCCCGAAAACACATATACAATAAAAAGAAAAGAACGTGCATCATCTGCAGCCCAATAGCAAATCATATACCGAGTCTTAAAAGAATCCGTCCACCCAAACACGAGAAACAGCTGCGAACATGAAAATCTAAATCTCTCACAAAACCCTTCCGCGGAAGGATGTAAAAAGAGGCAGTATAGTTGGTAATTAGGTTTTTCTGGCATTCTACTGTACATGTTATGTTGTGTGTGCCCAATTTTTTATTTACCTAAACATTCCCACCAATTGACTTGTTGTGTTACTGACAGGTATCAGACTCGGTGAGTGGACAGACTGTTGTGGATCCCAAAGGCTACCTGACTGATCTACAGTCCATGATCCCACAGTATGGAGGGGACATCAGGTAACTCTGCTGTTTTTATCTAGCATTTACTTACCATGAACCGGTACAGTAGCTTAAATCAGTGCTCACCTTGTAACCGGGAGGTCATGAGTTCAAACCCGGCCAGGTCATACCAAAGACTTTAAAAATGGTACAGGCTGCTTTCTCTGCTCATCACTCAGCATCTATGAGAAAGAGTGTGGGAAGGTCAAACACACAGCACTACCAGTGGACTAGCCCCCTGCTGTAGTGCTTGGACAACTATGTTTAACTTCAGAGTATAGTGTACAAAATACGTGAAAATGAGCTTAGGTTTGCCGGCTCGTTCTGTTGTAACACCCTCTTTTATTAGTGCCACTGCAGAGGTCATGGAACTGCAGCCTACGCACAGTACTATGCGGGACAAGTATCCAAGCGCAAATCTACGCCGACTGAACACGCACCATGCATAATTCAACTTTTACAGTCTCAAAACTGACGTATTCCTCCAACATACTCCTCCATTTCCATCTCATTGCCATGCAGAGAACAATCTCTGCACCTTTCTCTAGTATTGTGCAGCACTACTTTGTGCCCGTATTACTTTTTACTATGGGGTTCGCCCATAAATACTGGTGTGTGGCCTCAATCCTTCCTGTTGTCCACAGTGATGTGAAGAAAGCTCGGCTGCTGCTGAAGTCCGTGCGTGACACCAACCCTAACCACCCGCCGGCGTGGATCGCCTCTGCCCGTCTGGAGGAGGTGACGGGGAAGGTGCAGGCTGCCAGGAACATCATCATGAAGGGAACAGAGGTCTGTCAGAAGAGTGAGGACGTCTGGCTGGAGGCCATCAGGCTACAGGTCAGGGTCGTGAACTTTCAACTTTCAACTTTGATCTTTAACTATATTTAGAGACACCCAATGCAATAAGTATTTCAGGGCAGCAAAACTGGATTTTCAAATTCAAAGTAAATTTTCATTCTTTTCATGTCAACTTTTCATGTTCGCAACTTTGTGGTCAGCATAACTTCAGAACGCCTTTATGGATTGTGATGATATTTGGTGTGTTGGTAAGTCTTGGAAAGACAAAGGTCAAGGTCGAATATTGGCCTCCTGGTGGCTGACCTTGGTACTGCAGCAGAACTTCTGGTTTTTGTATCTTTTGTCCGGAAGATGACTTGACTTGAAGATGTCTTGACTTTTTGATGACAGATAGCTTTTCCTGTCAGGAATAAATGGTGTGGGTTTGGTCCCCCTAGCAGCTTGTTCTGGAACTGCAGGGGACTGTCTGGTGAATTCTTTTAAAGCCGATAAGTCCAGATAAGAACAACTTATTTTCATCATTTTTGTTTGTTCTTGTTGACCCCTGTAGCCCACTGACATAGGGCGTGCCGTGGTGACCCAGGCTGTACGACAGATCTCCGGATCCGTGCGTCTGTGGATCAAGGCTGCCGAGATCGAGGAGGAGATGAGGGCCAAGAAAAGGATCTTCAGAAAAGGTGAGCATCCTCTGATCTGTCCTTCTAATTAAACAAGCATGATCCGTTTTTGTGTCCAAGAAGGACCAGTGATTGCTTGAAGGCTCATCAGTGATTGTAAGAGTCATTCTGGAATGGGTTTAAACTGAATTTTCCAACACAAAATATTGGACTGACATAAATTTTCAACTGTTCAACTCCAGTCTTTGCCATCATAATGTGATGTTACCAAAGTGGTTCATCACTCATTCCTTGACAAAGACAAAAGTTGAACAGTCAAAAGCTTGGTTAAGTCCAATTTCTTTTGTTGGAAACTACTGTAACAGTTCAACCTGTTTCAGAAGGACCAGTGTGTTTTGTTGTTTTTTTGACTGCAATGTTGTCTGAATTATGTCAGCATTTTTGTGGCGTTCCTATGTAAAATTTAACATTTTTGTTGGCATTTTTGTATATATTGAATGTATAGCATACAGGATATACTTGGAATCTAAGTGTCAGAAAAATACTAAATCTTTTCTGTAGTACTACTAATTGTTAGCTCCCATTTCCAATTCAATCTTAAATGAGGAGCAGTAAGATTTTTATGGTGCACCCAAAATTTTTTTTGTGCACCCAATTTTTTTAGGTTGGGTGTGCACCTATTCTCAAAAATGAAATTTGAGCTCTGATTTACAGTGTATAAGGCTGATTGAAAATGGACAGGCAACATTTTTCTTTTCTTTCATTTTTCTTAATTTCATCAGGTTGGAAGATACTGTAGGGTATAGAATTTTCTTCTTACACAACCAGTAAGGTAACCGGGACGAGGGGGGATACAAGCTCAGCCACGTTTGGGATTGCATTCTCGCCGCAAAAGCGCCACCTACTTTGGCGTTAAATAGCGGCGAGTTGCAGAACTCCAGTCAGAAGCTCTGAGGAAGGTGTCTGATAGACATCGAAACGTAAGCAGGTGAGAACCTTACTGGTTGTGTAAGAATAAAATTCTATACCCTAACATTTTTCTTTCATTTTGCCTCCCCCAGCCCTGGAACACATCCCTAACTCAGTGCGGCTGTGGAAGGCTGCAGTAGAGCTGGAGGAGCCTGAAGATGCTCGCATCATGCTGAGTCGGGCCGTGGAGTGCTGCCCGCAGAGCGTAGAACTGTGGTTGGCTCTCGCCAAACTGGAGACCTACGAAAACGCCAGGAAGGTACGTACCGGTGTGGCTTGTGAAGAAATTGTCTTCTAGGAACAAGGCTTGTTGCATTCCAAAACAAGCTCTTTTACTAGTGCTGTGGGTTGCTTTAGAATAGCAGCATATGAATGTAATAAGAAAACAGCACATAATAAGTTCAAAAAGAATTATGCAAGAAGCCTGCTAGAAGCTCACACCCTGGGGTGCCAAAATTGCATATGCATGTCTGTGAAAATTAGGGTTATGAAGGCACGCGCATCAATTTTCGTCTAATTTTGAAAAAAAAACTGCCCCCTGACAGTGGTCACCATGCCAAAAATGGGCAAAGATGTCTGTTGCCATGCCGGAATGTGGGTTGTGGATAGGAAGAGAGGAGACAAGACAAGGCTCTGATTGAATTTTTTGTCTTTTACTTTGATGTAGTGATGTTTTTCATTTCTTTTGTGGAGATCCGACTAAATCAAAGCAAATTGCACAATGATTTTAGAGTTGTTTTAGTGACAAATGGAAGTTGTAATAGTTGGCAGTAAACTTAGCACAATATAGGCATCATTTCTTGTTTAACAATGTTTATGATGTTCAAAATTTGATAATGTAGGAATCTTGTTTTTTTGGCCCGCCTTTTTTTTTTTTGCCCTATAGCATTAAATATGGTGTCTGCGGAGGATGCCATCCATAAAATTTACTGGCACCTTTTTTGTGGGGTCGTGTGGCGCAGCGGTAGCGCGTTCGACTCGGGACCTAGAGGTCCAGGGTTTGATCCCCACCCATGTCACCGATCTTGTGCCCTTGGGAAAGGCACTTCACACGAATTTCCTCACTTAACTCAGGTGTAAATGAGTACCTAGCTTCGGTTAATAGGGACGTCCCTTGGATAGGACGTAAACTGGAGGTCCAGTGTTTGAGGAGAGCCACACCTCGAGCTCGTTAAAGATCCCACCACACCTTTCGAAAAAGAGTAGGGGCATGCCCCGGTGCGCGATGGTCCAAATTCTACAGCACAAATACTCCAATGTAGCAGAATCATCAACAACTTGATGTTGGCTACCTTAACCCCAAAGACCTTTACTACCTTTTCCCCAGGTGTTGAACAAAGCACGTGAGAACATCCCGACAGACCGTCAGATCTGGATTACTGCCGCCAAGCTGGAGGAGGCGCAGAAAAACAACGACAACGTCAACCGGATCATCGACCGTGCCCTGCAGTCCCTCCGATCTAACATGGTGGAGATTAACCGCGAACAGTGGATAGAGGACGCAGAGGTACGGTTTACTTTATTAGCGAAATCGTTTTCTTCCCTTTTTTTGGAAAAATTCAGACTTTGTCACGGTTGTTTTCTGTTGTTTTGGCAAGGAATTCTGTTCCTAAGACCACACTAAGTTAATTCCTTGGTTGATTTTTTGTAATGCTTTGTAAAACAAAGAAAACAAAGCCTAAGGACCAGGTCTATGTCTTGGTGCACTTTTGTGTTTTATGGAGTGAATACAGTCATATTTAAGTTTACCTCCTTGCCATATGCTTGTCTAATGTCCGCTTGCTATGTTTTCACCTTAAAGTCAAGAAAATGAAATAATGTGGCCAAAGACCAAAGGTTAACATCTTGTCTTTCTCCTGGAGGACATGAACTTTTCTCTGCAATAAAAGACAAACAGTACTGAAAGCTAAACTTCCTTTGATGCAAATCTTTAGAGGAGGACTGAAGATGATGATGAGAATGACTTTTACCAACACAAATGGACTTCAAGCTGTGTTTTTGTACAAAAGTGTTACCACTGCTAACTCCAAAAGTTGATGTCTTTTTTTTTTCTGCAGGAGTGTGAGAAGGCAGGCAGCATCATCACCTGTCAATCAATCATCCGGGCTGTCATCGGGGTGGGCGTGGAGGAGGAGGACAGGAAACACACATGGATGGAGGACGCCGAGAGTGTGAGTAAACAAACAAACAAACAAACAGCTTAAGGACATGTAATGCACATCAACTTAGGATGCTGAGAGACAAACAAACAACTTTAGGACAAAAAACAAACAATATTAGGACAGGAAACACACCTAGATGTGTTATGCCAAGAGTGTGAGTAAACAAACAAACAAACAAACAAACAACAACAATCAGCGTAAAAATTTTCATCATTGCTATTCTTGCTGTGGTCCTTATTGCAAAAAAATGCATAAAACACTAAAAATCCTATAAGATATACATGTATAACCCATTTACAGAAAACGTGTTGCAAGAAAAGTCTTCCATATACCGGTACCAATATACATGTACTAGTGCACATACCTATGTATCTTTACTTTCCTTGTAACCAATAGTTTCATTCCCCACACAGTCCACCACCCACAGTGCGATAGAGTGCGCCCGTGCCATCTACGCCCACGCGCTGACCGTGTTCCCCAGTAAGAAGAGTATCTGGCAGCGGGCGGCGTACTTCGAGAAGAACCACGGGACGCGGGAGCAGCTGGAGGCCCTGCTGCAGCGAGCGGTCGCTCATTGTCCGAAAGCCGAGGTTCTCTGGCTTATGGGCGCCAAGTCTAAATGGCTGGCTGGAGACGTGCCGGCTGCCAGGAAGATCCTCTCACTGGCTTTCCAGGTTTGTGTGTTAGGCCATGTTGATTTGATTATATGGATGACATCCGCGCGCGCATGAATTTTTGGCCGTTTCAAAAAAAAAAGTTTTCAACCATACTGTAAATCGTACAAAACAGTTGCAAAATGAGCAAAAATATACCGTAAGTTACAAAAAAATAAGTAAAAACTATACCAATGTCGTAGAATGCCAAAATCAAACGAAAAAAGACGAAATTGTAAGGAAATGAACTTGAAGATTAAATTATTCGCCAAACCATATTCTGTCCCATTTGTTCAACCCTCATGACCACGTAGATTTCATAATGAAAACACTTTTTTTTTTTTGCTAAACTTTTTTTTTTATTCGCACGCGCGCATCAGTTTTGGGGCTCCCGGAGGATGTCATCCATATAATCAAATCAACTTGGCCTTATGTAAATATTGTACAGGAAATGCAGTGGAGGATGAAATGCACTTTATTTGTCACTGCCCTCACTATAGCACCGAAAGAGATGTCACCAAAATGTTCCATAGATTTATTCACCTTCCCAGCCTACAAAAAACTGCATTTCTATTAACACCTCCCAATTCATATATCTCGCAAAATGTCGGCCATTTCATACTCCACTGCACACAGAAAAGAAATCAAACCAACAATAACTACACATGTATATCTAAAGTGGCATTAGCATTACTGCTACAGCACCAGTTGCCATGGTGACAGACTTCTGGTCCAGGTCATTGACCTTATTTGTTTGGAATGGAAGAAGAAAAACAGAGCAAAAACAATATATTTTCCTTCTGCAAAAGTTTAATATAACGAACAAAAAACATCTTTCTTCTCCAGGCCAACCCGAACAGCGAGGAGATCTGGTTGGCTGCTGTGAAACTGGAGTCTGAGAACAATGAGGATGAACGCGCTCGCCGACTGCTCGCTAAAGCTCGTGCCAGCGCACCAACTGCCAGGGTAGATTCTACATTCTGCAGACACTACAGTCTTGGAGGTTTATTTCAAGAAATGTATAGTTTTCAACCAAGCATGCAAGGGGTATTATTATCCATTTTGTAATGTAAAACCTTTCTACAAAACATCAGATTTGTAAGTATAAGGCTAGAAGCAGTAGTGAAAAATGCTCTGCTCAGACCAAATTTAACCTGCTTGCTGTTAGAGATTTGATACTGTTTAGTGAAGTTTGTACTTGTAGCAGCTAATTTTACAGCACAGTGAAAAACAAGAGTTTGCGATATAGTCTTTGAGTTTACGATTGAAACAATCTATTAATGGGTGACTGCAAAAAATCTTATGAATGCTTCAAACATTTCTATGAAATAAAAATTAATCATACAATCAATTGCTCAGCCTCTCCATCAATTTGGCCCCATTCCCACTAGGATAAACTTGACCGGCTCGAGGTGGATTGATTCGCTATGATCTGGCTTCGATCCGGCACAATCCAGATCGAACCGGATCAAGGGGGTGGATGGATGGCTGAATCTATTGATAGATCAATCAATGATTCTAACAGATTGTTGTTTGTGTTGTAGGTGTTTATGAAGTCTGTGAAGCTGGAGTGGGTTCTGAAGGAGACAGAGAAGGCTCAGGACCTGATAGAGGAGGGACTGAAGCACTACGCAGACTTCCCCAAACTCTGGATGATGAGGGGACAGATCCTGGAACAGGAGGGCAAAACTGATGCCGCCAGGGACGCTTACAACCAGGGGGTGGGCTTGTTTGTTTGTTTGTTTGTTTTGCATAACCGGTAAACTGCCTACAGGCATAACACACCAGTTTTGTACGTGTAAGTAAGACCGGACTGTAAGGTTTGAACCACTCACACCGGGAAGGTCCCCTACTCTTTTCGATAAGTGCGGTGGGTTCTTTAACGTGCCTGGATCTCCCAAACACGGGACCTCCATTTAACATCCTATCCGAGGGACATCCCTAACTAAAGCCAGATACTCATTTACACCTGAGTGAAGTGAGGAAAGTCGTGTTAAGTGCCTTTCCCAAGGGCACAAGATTGGTGACATGGTAGGATTCGAACTCAGAATCTCTTGGTACTGAGCCAAACACACTACCGATACTCCACACGATCCCACATGTATGTTACTGTGAATCAAAATGTTTTCATGGTACTTTACTATTCACGGGTTTTTGAAATTTCAGTCACTTCTGTACTGGTATAATTGTGAACAAATAATTCACAGACTTTCTTTTTGCTTAACCTACTGCCACGGCGAACATGTAATATAAGAAATGTCCCCACTCCATCTCTCTGTGGCTACTACTGTGTAACATCACCAAGATTCAAGCTATCCTGAAGAAATCGTGACAAAAACACACTATAACTCAAGTGTTTCTGTTGTTCCACAGTTGAAGAAATGTCCCCACTCCATCTCTCTGTGGCTGCTGCTGTCACAGTTAGAGGAGAAGCTGTGTAACATCACCAAAGCTTGAACTATCCTGGAGAAATCGTGACAAAAACACACTATAACTCGTGTTTCTGTTGTTCCACAGTTGAAGAAATGTCCCCACTCCATCTCTCTGTGGCTGCTGCTGTCACAGTTAGAGGAGAAGCTGTGTAACATCACCAAGGCTCGAGCTATCCTGGAGAAGTCCCGTCTGAAGAACCCTCAGTGTGCTGAACTGTGGCTGGAGTCTGTACGTCTGGAGTGGAGGGCCAGCAACAGGCAGATCGCTCAGAGCCTCATGGCTAGAGGTAGGTTTAAGTAACAGTAAGGCCATGTTGATTTGATTATATGGATGGCATCCTCTGGGAACCCCAAAACTGATGCGCGCATGCATATTGAAAAAAAAAGCGTTACAAAAAAAAGTCCTTTTTAGAATGAAATCTACGTGGTCATGAACAAATGGCACAGAATATGGTTTAGCGAATAATTTACTCTTCAAATTTATTTCTTTACATTTTTGTCTTTTGTCATTTGATTTTGGCATTGTACGACATTGGTATGGATTTTAAATTTTTTTATTGCAACTTACGGTAATACTGTATATTTTTGCCCATTTTGCAACTGTTTCGTACGATTTACAGTATGGTTGAAAACTTTTTTTTTTGGAAACGGCCGAAAAATAATGAATAATTTAAAAATTACATTAAGAAACGGACAACAATTCAAAACGTATCCAGTTGCTTGAGTAACGATTTCCTTGTCTATCTCACAACCTGATGTAAACAAACCACTGTTCCTGAGTAAAGAGACTCTTTTTATACAACCAAGTCTTTAATTCAGCCGACGTTTCGGTGACCGTCTGTCACCTTTCTCAGGGCAATTCTGACTAGTTGTGTAAAAAGAGTCTGGTTGTGTAAAAAGAGTCTCTTTACTCAGTGTCTTACCAACCTGATGAAACTATTAACAAAACACTGTTCCACAGCCCTACAGGAGTGTCCGACTGCAGGCAGACTCTGGGCAGAGGCTATCTTCATGGAGGCACGTCCGCAGCGCAAGACCAAGAGTGTGGACGCTCTCAAGCGCTGCGAGCACGACGCTCACGTACTGTTGGCTGTGGCGAGGTACGGTACTGTTTGAAGTTAAAACTTTTGGTCCAACACAAAAAAGTTCTCTCACCTAGAGCTTTCGACCAGTCACTCTGGTCTTCCTCAGTAGACTGACCCAGTGAAGCTTGTCACGTGGCTTCTTTGAAGTGTGACGTCAACACTGGGTCAAAGGTATCTGGTAGACGATGTCGGCCCCCGTCGCAGTTCAATGAAGTCTACTGAGGAAGACCAGAGTGACTGGTCGAAAGTTCTAAGTGAGAGAATTTTTTGTTTTGGACCAAAAGTTTTAACTTTAAACATGTAACTTCCAATACAGATGAACTTTCATGATAGTTGAGGTACGGTACTGTCGTACTGAGGCCTAGGAAAAAAAATTGTGTTTCCTGTTCCCAGACCAAGCCTAGAAAAAACTGCCGACCCTAGACTTTTTTTGGGGGGGTGGATTTCTGCAAGGGACATGAATTTTTCAAGCTGATCAACCTTTTCTAGTTAACATGAATTTTTCAAGCTGATCAACCTTTTGTAGTCAACATGGCCTTAAGAACATCCTTGACCTAAACTTCTAACATGGGATTTTTTATTCGCCCTTTGTAGGCTCTTCTGGAGCGAGCGGAAGGTGAACAAGGCGCGGGAATGGTTCAACCGTGCTGTGAAGATCGACCCTGATCAGGGCGATGCCTGGGCCTACTTCTACAAGTTTGAAACCCAACATGGCACAGAGGTAAACCTTACTGTTTTATAATTCAGTTAGTTAACAGTCAAAATCCTTCCCATGCATTTTGGTACATAAAGAAGGCATTCTGAATGGGGAAACTGGCAACATACAGGGAAAAAGACAGTCTGTCAGCACCAAGGACAAGCACTGGTGTTAACCAATCAGCACCAAGGACAGACACTGGTGTAAACCAATCAGCACCAAGGACAGACACTGGTGTAAACCAATCAGCACCAAGGACAGACACTGGTATAAACCAATCAGCACCAAGGACAGACACCGGTGTAAACCAATCAGCACCAAGGACAGACACTGGTGTAAACCAATCAGCACCAAGGACAGACACTGGTGTAAACCACTCAGAACCAAGGGCAGACACTGGATGGATTCATTCATTCATTCATGGATGACCAAAAAAAGGTTTAAAGAAAGAAGAGAATGAAGAAATTTGTGCTTTGATATGAAAAGATCAGCAGCCTTCGAAGGTTACTTCAAGTGTAAATTGTGTGTTTGACTCATTTCTTCCTTTTCCCACTCTTTCGTTCCCTCTCTCAGGAGCAGCAGGAAGAAGTGAAGAAGAGATGTAACCAGGCAGAGCCCCACCACGGTGAGCTGTGGTGTGAACTCTCCAAGGACATCAAGAACTGGAGAACAAAAACTGACGAACTCCTGCCCATGGTGGCCAACAACATCAAGAACATGTTCTAGATTCACTCGCCAGGAAGTTTTTAAAGTGATATTATGTAAGATTTTTGCGACAAAACTGTAGATATAAATAATTGAAATTTTCTCATCTAGATTGTCATTTTCAATAACTTTCAACATATTAGCATCAATATTTAATTATTCCGGCAACTCAGTGCAGCGCGAGAATAAGTTGCGCCAGGCCTGCTGCATTTTTAGGAGGGTCCTAAAAAGAATGTAAACAAACAGGGTTTTTGTTCGGGTATCTTTGGAAGTTTCCGGCATGTTTTTGCAGCACAACAACGTTAATCTTTTACTGCCCAAATGTCATTATGAGCCCAGGTAGGCTTGTAGCACAACAAAATGTGTAAAAAAAAACATGTTTAAAATATTGAAAATCTTACATAATATCACTTTAAATCAGGGCTGTTTCTTGGGCATAGGGGTGGTACATGTAGCTGTAGTATTTTGCCTTTTCAGATATTTCTTTGGAATTACTACACTTTACGTCTTACCTAGATAAACATATCCTGAAGACACAATAATTATAATAAAAGAATATTCATTAGAAAAACAATAAAGACACAATAAAGAATATTCATTAGAAAAATTAACGTTAGTATTGATGATTAGTATGATAGTGCTGGGATTACAAGTACATGTATGATAGGAAGCACCATTCTTTAAGGAGACCCTTGGTTTCATATTGTGACTGCAAACGTAGAGTTGTATTTGGAGAGCACAAACCCTGGTCATAGTTTCCATGCACATACTACAATTCACATTCTTATTTAGAGGAGATTGTATTGGCAAAGAAGTTGAAACAAGAAGTAGACAAGATAAGTATGAAAATGGTAAAGGTCATAGCTTTCAAAATTACTATGCTATAGAATTGTGTGAGAGTGATAGTAATATGAATACCTATGATAACACAAAGACTAAACGACATGTATTCATCTTGTGAAATTAATTTTCCAACTCTGGTACATGGAACCAACCAACAGTAGTGGCCAATAACAAGTTTTGTTTAACACAGATACAAGACAGGATAGCTTTGTTCTGTATGTAAAATAGAAAATGATTTGTGCATGACTTCATACATTTGTACATGTAGTTCTTGTCTTTATTAGTTACTAGAGATACAATGTAGTTGAAGAAATTTATATTAGAGTACATGCTTTGATTTACATGTAGAACTACTGAAGTCTAGCCTTACATACAGATTCATGTAGATCTAGAAGTGTGCAAAGTAGAAAAATGATCACAAATGGAAACAAAAATTTGAAGAAAAGAAAACCGAGTGCTCTTATAAGCTATAAAGTTTGTCTTATTGTATTGATCACATATTGTTTTGCTAAGTAAACAATAATAAACATGCACAAAAAGACAAGGAACACTTATTAAAAATAATCATATGTCTCTGCTTGGACTACCTTCTTAAAGTCAAACGAATACGGGTGAAACGAAAGGATTACTTGCATAAGTGCAACAGTAAGGCAAAATCTGACAGTGGCTATAGCTACGCTGCAGTACTGCACAGGATGTATAGGTGTCGCTTTTGACCCGTGTTGCTTCACTCCCCAACATGGCGACGGCGATCCCGAAAATCGACGTCCTTTCCTCCAGAGTTACTCGCGTTCTGGGCCTGAACCCCGGTCCCTTCACTCTCCGGGGGACAAACACGTACCTGGTAGGAACAGGGAAAAGGTGAGCAAACTTTAACGCCTTTGGCTGTTCGGTTGGTTGGCAAATACCATGTCATATAAAGTTCAAAACCAGGTCAGACATACCTAGGTCAGCTTCAAGTAACGTTAAAATTATATTTGGTTAGCTGTAGTACAGATATAACATTAACTGTTTATAAGATATAAAGTTACCCCCAGCCCTTTTTGATGGTTGGCGTAACATGTACGTATCCTTTGACACCCAAAACTGACAAACGTAGTATCTGTCAAAGTTTCATGCTTGCCTCGTTGACCGAAAGGACGTTGACCTCCGGGTCGGTATGAAAGTACCTCTTCAACTTCAAGAAGATGTTGGGGTGAAAAATCATAGCGCATAGCGTTTTCTGACGTTGTGAATGGAAATTTACTGTCAGAGAGGACCAACTCTCATAAAACGTTGTAAAACACATACACACATTTTTCAGTTCTCAATAGCAAATCCTGCACCAAGTTTATTATGTTTACCGAAGGAAAACATATTGTCTTTACTCTGTTTCATCTTCTTCTCCAAACCAATAAGGTAAATGACCTGAACCAGACGTCTGTCACCATGGTAACTAAGTGTTGGGGTACATCATGTTGTAATGTCATAGCAGGAGGATTTCGACTCCTGTCACCACATACATTTGTACATGAATGTGTTTGAGTAAGAATTAATGGACCATGTGCAAAGGTAAACATTATGTATTTGTTTTGCAACTGTTACCTTTCTAGTTATGTTTCACTCTATGTTGTAGTAAAGTAATAGCTGCAAGGAATTTTCCTTTTGTACATAGTCGTATCCTGATAGACACCGGGGATGCTGGGATACCAGGCTATGTTCCTAACCTCCGTGAAGCCCTGCAGTCCAGCGGTACAGCGTTACAGGAGATCCTCATCACACACTGGCATCACGACCATGTGGGGGGGATCCCAGCGATATGGCAGGCCTTCCAACTAGGTAAGTACAAGCAGAGCTCAAAATCTTTTTTTCTGCATACCTGAACCGGTGCAGGTAGCACTAAAAATGACCTATACCAGACAAGTTTTGCATACACCACTCAGACTTCAAGGAGTATGGATTATACTATAATTGATCATAGTATTAAAAACTGTTGAAAAACTGTTACCATGATTTCTTTTATACTTCATAGGTGGTAACAGTCAATGCAGCAAATAATTGGTGCTGATTGGTTAACACCAGGGTCCGTCCTTGGTGCTGATTGGTTTACACAAGTATTTGTCCTTGGTGCTGATTGCTTTCCACGTTTTGGTCTGTAATGTGGTTTTAGTGATCAGGGCTTAAAATAGTGGATGCACTTGCACTTTTTTTGCATCCAAAATTCAAGCCATGCTCCTTATTTTAGATTATTTTTTTGTGCTCGTAGATATTCATGTAGAGTTATGTACATAAAGCACTATTGTATACTAGCTAGTATACAGCATATTCCTGACATCCTGAAAAAATGATACGGCAAAGCTTTTCTTGCATCCATTGTTTAAAACTTTCAAGTTGGTTGTAAAATTTCAGATTAAAGCCCTAATGAGAGACAGGTAGGTTTGTAATAAACTCTGTGATGGCCAAACTTCACTTGCCAATTATTCAGTTATTCTCGATCTCTACTTGGCTATTTTACAACCCACATTGTTAGGCTGCTGGAGACCGATTTGATTTGCTGACAGACTGACTTTTTTTCCTTGAATGTTTCCAGTTTCGCCCTTCAGAATCAGCAAGCTGCCCAGAAACCCCAGTGGAGGGGGGTCAAAGGACACAGAGGGGTACAGTCCCCCCCAGGGGGAGGAGACAACAGGAGTCCCGGGGGTGGGGTATTCTTACCTCAGGGAGGGGGACGTCATCAAAACTGAAGGAGCTACACTCAAGTCAGTATTTTTTTTTTTCTAATTTTGTTGTGTGAACTATGCACAGATTTTCATTCCTTTTTTTTGGGAGGTAGACTGTATAAAAATGTAGGTTAGATTAGATAATAATAGTTTCTGATCTAAGGTGGCTTTAACATACTTGAGTTGTGGCTATCCAGCTTCATGTCCCATTCAAGAAGACATCCCTAAAAAGACAAGACAGGACAGGATAGGATAGTGCAGTATAGTATAGTACAGCTCAGAACAGCACAGAACAGCACAATACAGTACTGTAACCGTGCAGTACTATACAGTACAGGACAGTACGCAATAGCATAGTACAGTATAGTACTAGTAACAGCACAGTATATATATAGTACAGTACAGTACAGTACAGTACAGTACAGAACAGAACAGTACAATACAGTACAAAGCCTTTATTTTGCCTGTTTGGGTTGTCAGCCAAAGCTAGGTACTTTTTTCCACATGTTCAAGTGAAGAAATAGGGCAAAACATTGGGGCCTGCTCAGGATTGGAACTCAGAACCTTCGCAGATTCTAAGTCAACAACCCTAACCACAAGACCACCTTTCCACCTTGCTGCAAAGGATTCAAACTCAGAACCTGTAGATCCTAAGTCAACAACCCTGACCACAAGACCACCCTACTGTCCTTACAGAGCCATCTACACCCCAGGCCACACAGATGACCACATGGCCTTACTACTAGAGGAGGAGAACGCTGTGTTCTCTGGGGACTGTATACTGGGAGAGGGCACAACCGTAAGTCACTCATTATGTCTCTTCTTCTTCTTCTCCAAACCAATAAGGTCAATGACCTGAACCAGACGTCTGTCACCATGGTAACTAGTGGTAACAGGGGGAGGGCACAACTGTGAGTCACTCATTATGTTTAACTGAAGGAAAACATATTTTTTTTTGCTCTGTACCTGTCTCTTCATCTTCTTCTTCTCCAAACCAATAAGGTCAATGACCTGAACCAGATGTCTGTCACCATGGTAACTAGTGTTGGGTTACATCATGTTGCCATTTTATAGCAGGAGGGTATCCTAATAACAAATCTCTGTGTTGTTCCAGGTTTTTGAGGATCTCTACGACTACATGAAGTCCCTTCAGAAGCTAGCGGGATTCAAACCCGCAACCATCTATCCGGGCCACGGGCCGATCGTACAGAATGCCACAGAGAAGATCCAGGAGTACATAAACCACAGAAACATGAGAGAGTCCCAGATACTGGCGGCACTGCAGAAGGCTAGCAAGACTCCACTCACAGCCATGGAGATTGTCAAAATGGTTTATGTGGTGAGTGTTTCAAAATGGTTTATGTGGTGAGTGTTTCAAAATGGTTTATGTGGTGAGTGTTTCAAAATGGTTTATGTGGTGAGTGTTTCAAAATGGTTTATGTGGTGAGTGTTTCAAAATGGTTTATGTGGTGAGTGTTTCAGGGTTTCAAATACATGTACTTTTTTCTGCATACCTGCACATTGAAAGTTAGCTGCACAAAACAAATTTTACCTGCACTACTCAGAATTTAGGAAGTATGGATCACACTAAAAACTGTTCAGAAACCATTGCCATTCCCTTTATACGTTCATTTGTTTGTTTTGTACTTTTTGTGGGTCAGCCGTTACCAGCTTATTCTTTTAGTTCTGCCTGTGATGACCCTATAAATTCAGTATATGGGCCATGTAGGTAGATTGCATGCAGGTAGGTTTTGGCCCATTTTATTGAAAAATAAAGAGACAATGTTTGCTTGTTTGTTTACTAGGACACACCAGAACACCTACACAAGGCCGCAGCAGGAAACGTTACACACCATCTTCATAAACTGGTCAAGGATGGGGTAATAGGTAGGTTGACAATTGGATTTTTGTTTGTTTGTTTTGTAAGAAACAGGAGGAGCAAGTAGAAACAGATAAAAACCCCAGGTCCCGGGCCGGGGTTCGAACCCACAACCAAACCCGGGCACCAGTCCACATGCCGACGCTCAAACCACTCGGCTGAGAAGGTCTAGACCCATCGGCCGGGTCAGTTGGTAGCGCCTATAAACCCCCCACTGTTACACTACTCCCCCTTTTCTTTTCAAGATTTGTCCTCGAATCTTCCAAATTCAACAACCCTGGGAGCAGCACTCTTTGCCAGAACTCCCAGGGCCGGTGTGGGAACCACTGTAAGAAACAGGAGCGAGCAGTAGAAACAGATAAAAAACCCTGGTCCTGGGTTCAAACCCACGACCTCCCGAGCACCAGCTTCATAACCAGATGCTCAAACCACTCGGCTAAAAAGGTCTAGACCCATCGGCCGGGTACGTTGGTAGCGCCTATAAACCCCCCACTGTTACAGTTTGTTTAGTTGTCTGCTACATTTTGTACCTGGTGCTTCCAATTATTTTTTTATCACACAAGTAGTGTAAGAGGCATGAGCTTTTGTTCTTAACATGGAACAATGTGTAACATGATACACATGTAATACTACATGTATGTTATCTCTTTTTCAGACAAATTTGGGGACCCTTCGGCTCCAAAGTGGGCATTGAGCAAGTTGTAAAAAATTTTTTTTCTGTTTGTAACTATAGGATATTATAATGAATTCTATAAAAATGATGGTTTCAATTGTTATGTTTTCTCACCTTACGTAAACAGTTGCATATCATTTTTTATTTGGAAGTTGCATAAAATGCATTGATCAATTTAATGATATCAAATATTTAAGAAAAGGAGTTGTTATTTTTGAAAAAAAAGTGTTATGTCAAGAAACAATTGCAAACAGGAAAGATGTGGTAGATAGTTGATGAGAAATGCAAAACAATAACATTTGATAAATCGCTTGCAATGTACATGTATTGAACAAAACTGGTATGTAGAAAACTGCTACAGACTTAAATGCTACAAATGGCAACAAAACAACAAAATAAATTTGAAATTGTGACAGTTTTAGAAAACCAGTTGACTTTGTGCAGCATGTCTTTGCACAGTTCATGATGAAAGATACAAAGTAATCATGCTAATAAAATAATGCTACGAAAAAGATGTTCTACATGACATACATATTATGAAGGCTTTTTGCTCTCAAGAATTTTGTGGCTAAAATATTACATAAAGGGCCCTTAAACATAACTGTATGACTACTTTGTTGTGTTCCTTAAAAAAATTAATAACATTTTGTACATACGAGTAATTTTCTGGCATAAAGCTTCTCTAAAATGTAAAAAAAAATGTATTGATATGTAACCAAGAAAATATAAAGATTGACAGTGTACTACAAAAATGGTGTGTTTGCCATCCTTGCTGGATACAGGTGTCCATACATAGACCAAAAACTTGGCCATGCACATAACATATGCAGCAATATACATATAGTATACATATTGTTACTGTGAAAAAAGGGTTCTTGATTGTAAATGTTAGAAAAAAATTAGAGTCAAAATCTTATAGATTGCTGCTGCTTAAAGTACAATTTATGGTATAATTCAGAAATCCAGTGCTTGGAAATGCAGTTTAAACTTACCCTTTCTTGAAAGTTTGTAGTTTTCTTAGTAAACAGAATAATTTCATCTCATTCAGACATACAATAAACCATAACATATATTACTGTACTAGTCTTGACTCTTCACCAAGTTTAGAGCAAACAATACAAAGCCAAGACAGTTTTTTTGTGTCTATTGTCTAATTTTACATTGTCACTTAGTGAACATGGCACCCTAATTATCAAGCTATTACAAACAGATGATATTGCTTACTGGTATACAAGGCACTATGCCACATTTTGTTGTGGTCATACTAGTCACTATTGGCAGTGAATAAAGAAGGTATTCTAAGAAAACAGACACTACAAAATGCTGAGTTAATACAAACAGATTCATAAGGCCACACCAATTTAATTTGTTGGTTCTAGGATTTTTTTCAGAAAAAATATGAAGCGACAGGGCGAAAATAAAAACAGGCCTAGGCATCCTATGATAGCCCCAAATACTACAATAGGAGCCACGAAGTCAACACAAAAGGCTGGGTTAATATATAAACAATGAATTTTGAACTTTTAATCAAACCACTGCATTCAATTTGATAGATGGAAAAACTGTAACAATTAGGAAAAAAAGGACTTTCCTCAACTGTTGGGGGCAAAATATGAGCATTTTTAGTTGATTCAGAACCAGAATCTTTTTTTTTTTTTTTTTTTTGCAAATCAGAAAAAAAATGAAGACGCGAATCTGAGAACCAACAAATTGAATTGGTGTGGCATAAAGGTGGCAACTTTACTCAATTTGGCAACAATATTTCCTTTCCGCAAGTGTGATATGTAAGATATTAAGTGTGGCATTCTGATATTATATCTCAGTTTTCAACTTCCCAAAATTACATAGTTACAATGTTGAGACTGTGGCTCCAAATCTTAATATAACATCTGCATAATATAACTTCAAGGAAAGGAGAAACAGTTTGGAAAAGGTTGCTGTATTTGCTGTATTGCTACACATGATGGCACATTAGAGCTTTTCTTCCAACTATTTTTCGAAAAGTGAGGTACATTTTTTCATGGCTTTACCATAAAAGCATTGATACATATCCTGAATACCTCCTATGGGTGCATACCTACTATAGTACATAAATGCTACACACGATTTTTGTGCAATGGTTTATGTGGCAAAGATATGAAAATTATCTTCCTCTAAAAAAAAACGAAAGTTTTCAAAGAAGAAAAAAGCATAAAACTAAAGTATAAGCCTAAAAATACAGCCATTTTGGTGCTAAACAAAAGTTTTCCTCACAAAAATATGATTACTTTAGCTTAATGCAATATCACCATTATGTTTCCAAAGCCCCCACCCAACTATTCTCCCTTTATCTCAAATAAATAATCATAAAGCCTCAGTTTTTTGTGTTGTCATGACAACAAACACTATCTAAATGCACTTCTGAAGTTACAAATCCTTCCTCCACTCATAAAAGCAAAGTTCTGTATCAAATAGCTACAAATCTAGACACTGTTTTTTTCTGTCATACAGAGTCTAAAAATCTTAAAACCTACACCTTTTTTTCCTATTATTTACAACAAATATCATAGTACTGACAGGCTATCTACTACTAGTACAATGTAGAACAAAAAAAAACAAAAACAATATCCCATGAAGTTCTAAGTTGGACCTCAATCCACCAAATTTGCTGACAATGCATCTATCCAGTTTAGAGGAAAAAATCAGCATTATGTAAACAGCTAGCATAACAATACCTAACACTGCACTTTTCATTTTACTTAGGAAATATATACTTATAAACTATACATTGTGTGGTCTGAGAGAAAGCAACAGAAATTTACGTAACATAACAAGAAAACAACAAGTATGTACAAAATTAAGAATATTGCTGACTACTTCAACAGATTTTCATAGTTGTAGAAGCACTTTTCAAAGGACCAGGCTTTTTGCAAATGAATTAAACACATGTTTGGCTTTCCAGTATGTTGGAAAAAAACACTTTTAGCAAATGCTTGAATCATTATGAAGCTGGGACTTGTGTTGGCATTGCAAAGTTCCCACTTATTTTTCTTTATCACATGAATAAGATCATTGTACTCTTCATTATCACAGTGTCTTAAGAAATTATCCAATTAATTCAAAATGTTGATGACTTGGGATCCATTTCTGGCTCTGCTAAAAAAACAACAAATGACAAACTCTTAGTCTTATTTTTAGGGTGCAGGAAAATTTTACAGCAAGGTTGACAAAGAATGACTGTTTAGTTGAGTTAGAAGTTATAGTAAAATATTTAACTTTATTCCAACACACAGTTTACAGAGAGGTCAAATTTTCAGCGACCACTGTCGCCTTCATCAGGATAATTAATGACCAATCACTTCACAACGTGATCTCGCGAGAGTTACGGTTTACAAACGTTTCAGAGCACTTCAGCCTTCACTTAATAGAGATGGTGGATGATATAAACTCCCTGGCACTTTTGATCAATTGCTTACGTCACGTATCAGTAAAATCCTGTGTGAATAAGGTCATGTGTTTGTAAACCGTAACTCTCATGAGATCACGTTGTGAAGTGATTGGTCATTAATTATCCTGATGAAGGTGACAGTAGTCCTTGAAAATTTGATCTCTCTGTAAACTGTGTGTTGGAATAAAGTTCAACGTTTTACTATGATGATTACTACCAACACAGATGAAGTTTCATGATAATTTGAGTTAGAAGTGTTGTTGTCGCTTCTTCTTTGCGTCCATGGCGTTGAGAATAGGTTGGCGTTTGGCCTGGTATCGGCGCCGAAGTTCCTCAATTTCTCTCTCCATCTCCTGGTCCAGAGTCTCAAATCTCTTCCTCAACTCATCAGAGCTCAGGTTCTTCAACTGTAATATATGTAAAGAAAGTCATTGAAGAGGTTCATCAATGAAAGGTAGCAAACACATACCTTGTGTTCTTGCGAGACTAGGTCACTCCGTGATCAAGACCAACAGTGGATGCAGAAAATTTGGAGGACGGTACGTGTTTCCTACCTTTCAAAACAGTCACTAATTGATGAATATGCTACTAAATGAAGAAAGTCAAAAGTGGAAGTGATCCCAAAGTGCTGAGTTATTCTTTAGTTGTTGTTATGTCAATGGGAGAATACCAAACATGTCTTTTTCCCCACATATTTCATATTATTTTTTCAGCCTTATGTATTTACACAGCTTAATGCGCTGTCCTTAGGGCTGCAACTCTTTCCAGTAGCTCATATTTTAATCTGTTGTGCACTCAAAACCTTTTCTGTACAACCTAAATTTGTAGGCATATATTGCCAAAAATGAATTTTGAGCCCTACCATAATACTAGGACCTCAAAATGCTTCAATATGCACTACCTAAGCGCAAATTTGAAGCACATACAATAATACACATACCGGTATGTCTTGTTATGTTGTAATAATTGTATGTACCTAGTAATTGCATGTATGTAATCCTATGTCTTGTGTCCTCTACTGGGATACTAGCTGTCACATAGTCATAGGTAGACAGTTAAAGGAGGGGTTGAACTCTAATAAACTCCTAATAAAACATGAACATATCAAGAGAAACACTCACAAATTCGAAGTCTCCATCTTGGAACGGTCTCATGAAGCCGTACCCCTCGGACGCTGGCCGGAGAACCGGTCCGGGCTGGATCTCGGCCGTGATGTTCCCGTTGGCGGCGGACTGGCGGTCTCTCTCGTCTTGTTCCTTCTTCTCAAAGTGGTCCAGGAAGGACGGACGATACTTCTCCTTCTTCACTTTACCTGTTTCTATTCCTGGGGTGAAAATGGCAACATTTTATTCTTCATTATATTTACCAAAGGAAAACATTGTTTTTTCTCTGTTTCCTCTTCTTCTTCTCCAAACCTATAAGCTAAAAAAGGTCAATGATCTGAACCAGACATCTGTCATCATGGTACATTTTGTAATTAGTGTTGGGTTACATCATGTTGCAATTTTATAGCAGGAGGGATTTAGACTCCTGTCTGACCACATATATGAATGTGTTTGAGCAAGAGTTAACAGAGCAGATTAACATTATGCGAAGATAAACATTATGCATTTGCTTTGCAAATGTTACCTTTCTAGTTTGTTCCAAAATCTTACCACACACACAGAAGAAAGATCCACAGAATATGGATCAATGTTTAGACACCAAGGTAACTAGATACACATGGAAATTGCTACTCAAGCAAGCGGTTAGATTTTCAAAATCTCAGAAAGAGTTAAGATTCAAAAATGAAGAAAAAAAATTATTCAGAAGATTTTTTTTAAAAAGTCTGCTGGTATTTTCTCTACCTCCATGTCAATTTGTAGGTCTTGGTCCAAAAAAATGAAGCAGCTGACCAATTTGAAGAAACACATCAAAAACAATATATTTCCCACCCATACCTGTGGTATGGAGTGAAATATGAATAAATCTTAATAATCATTTATGATATGCTGATTTTTTACTGACTTCTCATCGTGGAGTCTTCATCTGTGTCATCATCAGAGTTGATGACCATGGTACCCAGGTCTGACTCCAACATGGTACTGTCGCTGTGCTCGATCATGGTACCTGCAGTACTGCTCTCCACCATGGTACTGAAAAACACACCAGGTTAGTAACATAAAGCAGTCATCGTCAACTGCGGTGAAGCATGAGCCTTTTCAAGTAGCTTACAGTGCACTGTAGAAACGAAAGTGATCTCAATCCAGTTTTAGTGACAGAGACGCTATGTATGTATTATTATTACTATGTAATATTTACAGGTTCATTGTACTTTTGAAATTCCCCTAGCTCTTTTCAACAAGTACACTGATCAGTTGACCACAGTGTAACATTCTGTCCTAAGGACTGCAGTAAGGCATGTGTGAGCAACAACAGCCAGAATTTGAACTCCCAACCTCTTGGTCCAGAAGCAAGGTTTTACTCTATGGTAGTTTTAGGAAAAAGATTTTTTCAAGAACTCAATCCTGGGTTGATAACTCTGGTACAGTGGTAGGCATGACTATTTCTTTTTACCAGGAGATAACTATTTTTCTGCAGTTTACCAAGATATAAAATGTCAGATACAAATACTTCAGTAACTGTTACTACAGTAGTAGGTTGTACATAACAACAATGTGGGAGTATTTTCTGTGTTTTACCTGTCGTCCACATCAGTCATGCTGTCCCGCGGCGTGTCCGACGCTTTTATCGTGCCCGTGTCGTTGTCTTCTCCCAGCAGCATCGTGCTCGCATCAACATCATCATCCTCATCCTCATCCTGTTGTCATAGTAACAAACAAACAACATCAGCAACACTGTCAAATCATACCATATTTGGTCATGTAATATTAGAGCTCTCTGTCCTAATGATCTAAAGTCATCTCATGATTTAATGTGTTATAATATAAATTCATTTTTCAGTGCTGCAAAAATATTTTATTGTACTGTTATTGATAAGGGACAAAGATGACACATTTTACCAATAATGAGGCAACTTTCTTTTTGCTTTTCTGATCCTTGTTGCCTAGCAACATACTAGCTGCCAATCAAATACTTCACCTTGTCACTGCCCAAATGATGTTGTCTGTCAATCTGTCACTCACACATCATGTGACCACCTGTTGCCAAGCAACAGATCTGTCACTCACACATCATGTGACCACCTGTTGCCAAGCAACAGATCTGTCAATCACACATCATGTGACCACCTGTTGCCAAGCCACAGATCTGTCAATCACACATCATGTGACCACTTACCGGGCTCTCCTCTTCCACTTGTTCCATCCTCCGTTGCCTAGCAACCTGGGCCTCTGAGATCATGTCTTTCAAGATGTAGGCTGGCTTAGCTGCTCGGATGAAAGGATGCTGTGAAAAAAACAAAAACTTTGACAAAAATCCTTTGTTTGGTCACATTTTGCATAAAAAGTGGCTACATGTGTAAGCATGTTGGTTTGAGTATTTCATGAATAAACAAAGACTCAAACAAACAAACAAACAAACCTGTAGAAGCTGTGTTGCTGACGGACGTTGTTGCGGGTTTTTGACCAGACACTGAGACACAAAGTCAATGAACTCCTGGCTCCACTTCTCCGGGTTCCTGAAGGTGGGAGGGGGCTTGGTGGGGATCATGAAAATAGCCTGCAAAATGGGGAAAGATCGGGTTAGACATACACTTGTAAGTGCCATGGTCTTTGGGTAGTTATCCAGATCGTATGTTTCCGAGTAATGGATCCTACGAATTCCGTAAAATTCGTATGAATTCTATGGCACCCCTAGTACATGTAACTATCACGTCGGCAGAATGTACTGCGCCTGCGCAGAACCTTGGATTTTCGCTTGGATTTTTGGTCAACATTGCATCAGAATTTTTGCCTGTTGCAGACGATATATTTTCCAACATAACATTTGGAAACTACAGACGGGCTGTTAACCTTATATGCGCGAATACAACCTTATATGAGACGTTCTGCCGAAGTGCTATGTACAATACATAACGGGTTTCGCGCAGGTGCAGTATGTTCTGCCGACGTGCTTATATAACTCACCCTCATGGGGTGGATGTCGGCGTACGGAGGTTTCCCCTCCGCCATCTCCAGCGCCGTGATGCCCAGCGACCAGATATCCGCCAGACAGTCGTACCCGATCTCCTGGATGACTTCCGGCGCCATCCAGAACGGCGTACCGATCACCGTGTTCCTCTTTGCCATCGTGTCCTGAGAACAGCAAACAACTTTTGAACGACGACTCCATTTTTAGCAAAACATTAACAAGACTGGCAATGAAAACATACATTACCATGGCAACGGTGGTTGTTGGTAGAGTCTTTGTTTGCATGGCACTGTCATGATTTTGGGGATGTCGTCTGTCATGAGTTTGTCAAAAATGACATTGCACAATGACTGGACTGCACACAATACTGTACCATTAGGCTCCCCCCTGAGGCATCGCCAAAAACATTTGAAGGCCTACTGGTACCTTTTGTCAAGCTTTCAATCAGATCTTAACAAACATTTACACTATAAAATCTGTTTCAGTTTCATTTTGTTAAGCTTTCAATCAAATTTAAACGTACCAAACAACTGCAACTTACAGGTTACATTTTGATTGGTTACTGGTCAGGTGAGAGCTATAAGCTGCCTTCTGATTGGCTGGAAGACTAACGGATGTTTTGATTGGTTGCCTGAAGTAAGGATAGGTGAACTGATCACCTGACACGGAATCCCATTGGTTAGAGGTCATCTGAGGGCCATAAACTGTCGTCTGATTGGCTGGGAGACAAAATGAGCATTTCAAACTCACAGTGAGTTGGCCAGCAACTCCAAAATCTGCCAGTTTTGCGTCTCCCTCAGTGTTGAGTAGGATGTTTCCTGCCTTGATGTCTCGGTGGATTTTCCTCATGAAGTGGAGGTACTCCAGACCCTTCAGTACCATGGAGGTGATGGCAGCAATCTCATCTTCTGTTAGCTGTGGAAGGAGTAAGAAACAAGGCATTCAGTGAGAGCAGACCACTGGCAGAACATTCAGAAACTGCACTGCTCCCTCTGGCACAATACACAGGAACTGCAGTGCAGAAACACAAAGACACACACTCAGACATATACACACACAAGCAAAAACCATACGGACAAGCCAACAATACAAAAACAACTACCTAATATATTCAGCTGAAAATCAGTGAAATTGTACCTTCTCTATGCTTTTGCTATATATGCTATGATATCAAGTAAGTTACTATATATTGAATTTGAATACGCATACGTGTTTATCCTCATTTCTGGTACATAAGTGTTGTATACAGCCATGTAAGATATGGCGTTACTTACAGTTTTGTTACGTAGTTTCATGATGTCTGATACAGATCCAGCTCCACAGTACTCCATCACAATCTGTCATACAAACATGTGAAACATTAGAAAACCTCCAAACTAGTTGTACCATTGCCTCAAAATTCAGTCATTTGTATCTTATATATATCAAACTCTGTTCTTGAAATATCACTGAGGTTGTGAATTCTAGGATTCAAAGGAAGTTATCATACTGAAAAACACTTACCCAAAGATCGGAATTCTTGAAGTAACTTCCAAAATACCTGACGACATATTCACTGAAATAAAAATGTTTAAAACAAAATTATACATAGTGAATATCAAAGAAGCCAAGCAGTTGAAAAACATCTACAATTTGAGAAGTTGTGGCTATACACCTCTAACGTAAGAAAGACATTCTTATTCCTGAATCCTAGAACTACCAATAGGAGTTCAGAATTGTTTATCACTACGCACATCAGTCCAATAGGAGCTCAGGATTCTTTATCATTATGAAAATCAGTCCAAGAGCTCAGGATTCTTTGTCACTATAAAAATCAGTCCAATAGGAACTCAGGATTCTTCATCACTTTAAAAATCAGTCCAATAGGAGCTCAGGATTCTTTATCCTTTCGAAAATCAGTCCAAGAGCTCAGGATTCTTTATCACTTTGAAAATCAGTCCAATAGGAGCTCAGGATTCTTTATCACTTTGAAAATCAGTCCAATAGGAGCTCAGGATTCTTTATCACTTTGAAAATCAGTCCAATAGGAGCTTAGAATTCTTTATCAAGATGAACATCAGTCCAATTCTCCAATAGGAGCTCAGGATTCTCTGTCACCATGGAAACCGATCATCACCAGTTAGCAGCCCCACCTGTCACACTGTTGCATGATGGATATCTCCTTGATGATCTCCTGAAGGTCAGTGTCCACGGGAACCTGTTTGATGGCCAGGACCTGCCCCGACTCCTTGTGCATGGCCTTGAACACGCTGCCATAGGAACTGCAAAGGGAGAATTATCAGAAACTGTGATGAGAGACTGTTGTCAACCATAGGAACTGCTAGGTAATACCACAAAACATTTGAGCAACTGTCAGGCGAGACCAAAGTAGTCTTATTGCTATACAGTTGTCAGGGGTGCCAGAGTATACAGTGCAATTTTACGGAATACAGTGCAATTGTATACTAGTATTGCACTGTATTCCGTAAAAATTGCACTGTATTCTGTAAAATTGCACTGTATTCCATAAAATTACACTGTATTTTGTAAAATTGCACTGAATACTTGTAAAATTGCACTGTATTCCGTAAAATTGCACTGTATTCCATAAAATTACACTGTATTTTGTAAAATTGCACTGAATACTTGTAAAATTGTACTGTATTCCGTAAAATTGCACTGAATACTAGTAAAATTGCACTGTATTTCATAAAATTGCACTGAATACTAGTAAAATTGCACTGTATTCTGCAAAATTGCACTGAATACTAGTAAAATTGGACTGAATTACTAGTAAAATTGCACTGTATTCCATTAACTTGCACTGTATTCTGTAAAATTGCACTGTATTCCGTAAAATAACACTGTAAACTCTGGCGCCCCTGTACTAGCTATAGTACAATGTAGTAGTATATAGAGACAAAAGCTCACCCTTCTCCCAGTTTCTCAAGAACATCAAACACTTCCTCAGGCTGCCGAGTCAGGGACTCTTCACTCAGCTTCTTCAGCTCACTGGAAGGAACATTCAACAAATAAACAAAAAGACTTAAGACATTTCAATTGTACTTTTGTTACATCAAGTTATCTTTTAGTTAACCTTCTCACTGCTGCCTAACCTCATAGCCTATGCAAATGTTGTACCAAAAATGGTTACCTTAGCAGGAGGGCTATCCGACTCGCGGGAAGGCCGAAACTGAGGTCGATGCGGAATACACCGTGTTGTATATTATTTTTGTCATACCCACCCAAGAAAACACGCCTTTCAATGCAAGATGAGCCAAAAGTTGGTGCCCCTAAACCCTAAAATGCAACAACATCTAACGTCCAGATTCTGTATTCAAATTTTCGAAAGTGGCGCACGCAGTTAGGGCAAAATGCGTTCGAATCGTTCTATGGAAGCCAGGGAAGCCCGGGCCGTACCGTAAAGTACGGCCCGGTCCGGAACCCGTTGTCGAACGTTATTGCGGCCCGGGTATGATATAAACTTGAATACACACTGGTAAGAAGATGGACTGCTTTTTAATACCACAAATGATTCACTGTAAACTAGATTTTAAGTACCATTACTCACAGTGTCAACATGTGATATCCTCTCCATGTCTGTCTGTAATCCTCTGACTAATCATACACATTATTTCTGACTGCTCGTGAGTCATTCTGATGTTAAACAAAGGACTCAGTCCCTATGGTACACCTTGACCTTGATACCTTGATACCGTCTTCGGGATGAGAGGTAATCCTGTGGTGATCCCGATCTCGACTTCACTCAGTGTTATACTTTATGCTCTCCCAGTATTTGTCTAGGTTCGTCTTGAACTCATTTACTGACTCTGAGTCAATTACGGCTTTTTACATACAAGTACAGTTTTACATATGCAAATTTGATCTTCAAATTCAACGAAATCCATGCCCGTAGCCAGGGGGGTTCGGAAGAACCCCCCCACAAGGCTCAAAGGTCCACTTTTTGGTCCACTTTTTATGTAAAGGTCCACTTTTTGGTCCACATTTTATGTAAAGGTCCACTTTTTGGTCCACATTTTATGTAAAGGTCCAAGTTTTTTCTTGAAAAGATGGACTGGAATCGTAGAAAAACTGCTCTCTTTGTCATTGAATAAAAATTTATCTCTGATTTTCTCTTGGAAATCCTCTCAAAAATGCACGAAATGCCATTTTAGAAGGTTCATTTTTCAAAATTTTCCGGGGGAGCATGCCCCCGGACCCCCCTAGGAACCTCGCGCCTTCGGCGCTCGCCTCGCGCCTACGGCGCTCGAGGTCCACTCAAGCAGTGGGACGAACCCCCCCATTCAAAATCCTGGCTACGGGCATGATTTCATACATTCCTTCCCACATAAAACATTCAAACAATTGTGAATTGATCATTGAATGAGCAAAGATTTCTGCATCCAAATACAGATATCCTTATACAAAAATCATACTTTTACTAATTTCATGAACCAAAATTTGCAGAAAGGTTCTTCTACTTTGACATTACATTCAAATTATCATAATTGAGAGTAAACTCAAGAAAAATATGATGGTATTGTCAGCCATAAGTGAATGATTGAGTTATCTTCAGCCTATAGAGTCATCTATATTCAAATGTTGTTTGTCAAGTGCATGATTTCTAAGCAAATACAATTAAGCTACCAGTTTAGCATATATATTGCAAATTACTGGTACAGAAATATTCTTCGTTACATTCATTTCATAAACTGCTTAGGTGTCTAACAGTTATTATAATGTGTTTTGAAACATCGCCACTCTTTATAACAATGTTCATATCTTACATTATAAGAAATATGATGCATGTATGTTTGGAAAGAATTGAGGAGGGAGGGGGGCAACAAAAATTATTTTGAGCACCATAACTAAAGTTAAAAACATGTTTATTGTTCCACATATATAGATTTCAGACCATAAACAATTACATAACGCTATAGCATATCTGGTATGTTCCTGAAGGCTCTATGATCAGTATAGCGTACTTCCTCTTGCAAAATACAGAAACAGCTGTGGTGTTGACTAAGATAATTTTGTCGGCAACACTATAGCAAGAGTTGGCATAAAAAGACTATCAGATACATATGATCGGAGAAGAAACTCACCTTTTTCTCGACATCTTTGCATCTATTTTCCTTGTGGCTAGTCAGAAACACTCATCTTTCGTGTTCTGTGGGTGAAAATATCGAAATAATAGACGAGAAATCGCGACAAAACAGAGGAAACTGCGATCGCCCACCCCCTCTAGGATTTCACTTGTAGATGTAGGTCAAACCAATAATCCTGGGGGTACAGAAATAAAATAGTGTAGTATATTGGACAAATATAAACTAATTCAACAATGCAACAAATATTTTTAAAAGTACTAAATTGTATTTCTTATTTCTTAGCAAATTTTTGCTAAGAAACATACAATTTGTAGCTTTTGAAGAGACATATAAAAGACGGTTCTCCCTATTATATTTTGTGATCTTCCGGTAAATTAGCTCACTTAGGACCAATCACAGCTTAGTTTATAAACATTGATAATTAGGTTGTAATTTCGACCAATCAGGTTGAATGTTAGGAATTGCCGTGGTAACTTCCACGCATGCGCGGTGGCGACATGAAATCGTACTCCGGATCCAGATTTGGATCGAGCCGGTTGGGAAATGATGTGATTTTGTTGTTCCGCGCTGAAAACAACGATTTGGGGCGTTAAAACTCTACTTTCTCTCAACTAACGACAGATTTCTTGTGTCTCAAATCCTTGCCAACAGAAAAGTTACACGATTTTTGCTCGTAACATTCCCAGGTGTCGTCGGCAAACGTAGAACAACGTTTCCCGTGTTGGTGTGAAGTCGTAACAACATCTGGAAGTAGTCTTGGCTACTATTTCATGGATTATTTCCAAGGAACCGTGTCCCGCTGACCAGGATTTCTTACAAGGATCACCGAAGGTTTCTTTAAGACTCTCCCGATATGGATTCTAAGGCGAAGCGGCCGCTGAGAGTCAAAGTCATCAGTATGGGCAACTCGGAAGTCGGAAAGGTGAGTAAAAATTATCACAACAAAATATCTGGGAGGGGATGTGATAATGAAAAAAGGTGTGAAACTATTGTAACGTAAAAATGTTTGGAATAGGTTTTTGAATGTGGGAGTGAATGATTTGAAATGATCCAGGAAGAGATAAAAGAAAGCCTTTATACTTGTACATATAATAAAATATGATATATCAAAGAGAGAAACAGGTATAGATTGATAAAGGCTACAGTACTAGTATGTCATATTAATATTGTTTGCAACATACTTACTGACATGTGTTCATTCTATCCCATTGGTTGATTAAGTTAAGAATTTATTTTCATGTGTGCTAATCATTAAAAAAATCAATTTCATATAACCTTTTAATAGGCCACAACAATACATTTGATTGGTTACATAATCATCTAGGACTTGGGTAAATTCGCAGAAATATCATAAATTTTTTATGATTTTTCATCAGCCAGGTTATTGTGTACCTGGATGTCTAACCTTCAACAATTCAGACACATTCCTTTTGTTCTTTGACATGATATGATTGTACCAACAATCAGTATGATCTTGAAAAGGTGAAATGAATACAGTAAGTAAAACTTGTTTGATCTGAGAACCAACAAATTAACTTGATCCGAGAACCAACAAATTAACTTGATCCAAGAACCAACAAATTAACTTGGTTCAGCCTAAGTAGCAGTTGTCAGTGCCCATCAACATGTGGTTTCAAGTAAATCCTGGTACTCGTTTGGCTTCTGTTGAAAAGCTGATGACTTCCACATCTAAGCATGACCACATCTGCTCCTTGGGGTCTGAGATGTCAAGCTGGTTCTTGACTTCTGTCCTCCTTTGGGACTTGTTGGGGGGCCTGCGTGCCCTTTTCCATAGACCGTAATCGGCTGCTTTAATTCTGTATTAATTCGTAGACAGACCAAATTGTAATTCAACGCAAAGCTTAATTGCGTAGAACGTAATTCGCCATTTTGATTCTACGTAATACCCTGAATTTTGTTGTAAAACGTGATGGGGAGGCTTCCTAAATTTAGCGTTATATTATGTAGCGGCTCTCAAAATTTAGCGTTGTCGGACCTTCCCCACCCCCATGCAGGCCCTCTTGTTGATGTGAGGCTCTCATGTTACCTGAGGTTATTCTTTTTCTACTGCCTTCTCATCTTTTGTAGAGTATCACTGCTAAAAACTAGGTTTACAAAATAAAACCTAAAACTTTTGTGCCAGTTACACATTCTAGAGATAAAAGACCTGTAACAGAAAAAAATCTCAGTTTGGAAAAGTGTAAAGAAATTTATTAACACTTTAGAGATATGAATAAGAAAAGGAAGATGCAAGACACATGAAGATCTGTATTATTCAAAGCCTAATGAGTAAAATTAACTGCAACATTTCTATAGCTTTTTTTTTCATTAGTTTTTTTCTTTAAACATACACACCAGGGATCTTTCCTGGCCAATCCACAACTGATACTATCAACATAAAGCATCAGTCAACAACCAGCCATTGGTTTGGACAGTCACATAATGGTGACAAACTGTCTAAATTTTATCTCACAAGTGTCACAAGGTCTCAAAAACAGATACCTCACAATTCTCAGCAAAATGACAAAAAAATCTGACATAGCAAAAAAAAAAACATCTATCATTTTCTATTGTCTGTGTTAAAGATATTCCCATTGGAAGATCCCAAACTACAGTAGTTTGGGATCTTACAGTATTGCAGACCTATAGTGTAGATCAGCATGAGGTGATGATATCTTTGTTATTAAGGGCCACCCCTGGTGCAGACATGTGTCTTCTGTCTGTCAACTCAGCAGAAATAGCGGGCAGGTTGCTGAGTACCCGATGGTATGAAAACTGTGCACACATGCAAAAGTTCGTGTGAAAACTGTGTACATCAGCTTTTTCTCTGTGTAAATCGGCCGGCTTTCAAGGGAAAAACTTTATTTGATGTACACAGTTTTCCTACATTCTCATATGTATGCAGTTATTGTACTACATCAGTTTTTTTTTTTTGCCTACATGTAAATCGGGTATAAAACAACTGTAGGAAATACCTTCCGAGGTAAAACTGCATTCTTGCCATTCTCAGGAGAGCATAGAGGAAAAATAGTGCCAGTCAAGACTACTGTATTTGCGTGCAATTGTTTCTTGTTACTTTTTTAAGCATGATACTTTGTGGCCACAAATCACTTGCAAACATCTTGAAGTAAGTAAAAAAACAAACCTTCATTTGCCCAGTCGGTCATAAGTTTTCAAAGCAGACTTCAGTGACAGTGCTTCCAAGGGCAAGATCATGAAGATGTTGGGAAGAATTTGGCAGTATCAGTTTGCACATACCTGAGTAGGTTTTCCTGTCAGGAAATATATACCCGCTGTCTGTTCTTAGTCTTGAGGTCCTGAGGGTCCCAACTGATTAGACAGGACTGGTAGAGATTTGTGTTTATGAGCTGCGGACATTCCTTCATCTGTTGTAGATATAGTCTCTTACTGTCTTAGATATCTTCCCTCACATACATGTAACTGGGGGCCCGCATGCCCTAGCTTTTCCGCAGAGCGTAATCGGCCATTTTAATTCTACGTAGAGCGTAGACGGACCGCTCTAATTCAACGTAAAGCGTAATTGGCGCATTTTGCGTAGAGCGTAATCGCCATTTTAAATTTACGTAATGCGTTAGTTGTAGCCACTTGGAATTTATCATAAAGCGTAATCGAGAGGTTTCCGAATTCAGCGTAATGAACACTGTTATCGAAGATCATCACGGCCCTGGTATATAATATGATATATAATGTATCATTGCTGTTATAGTAAATTAACTAAATTGATAATAGAAATATATCTGTTGAAATTTTGAAAACCAAGTAAGGCCACACCGACTTAATTTTATGGATGACATCCTCTGAAGACCCACAAACAAGTGCGCACGGGCGAATAAAAAAAATCCGGCAAAAAAATAAAAATGCTACTAAACCACAGGAAAACAAAGCTGATATTGTGAATTTGAGGCATTACATAGTGACGTATGTACACAACAAGCCGGCACATGCTGGCTTTTTGCGGAATTTATGAATCGGCACTGTACGTATGTACTAAGTTCTTGAGTCGTGGAGCTTTGGTATAGCCTGGGTGCCGTCCTCCAGAGTTACCACCGGCTCCGCATTGTTGCTAACTACCATGGACTATATATACCCAGGCCTAGAGCCAGGCCAGAGCCTCGGAGGATCTTTTTTTCTTTTTTTTTTTCTTTTTTTGACAGCGGGCGAAAATCAATGCGCGCGTGGATGTCATCCATAGAATTAACTCGGTGTGGCCTAACTTGGCAATTTCAAGTTAAACTAGGACCACCTTGTCAGCCAAAAATAGAAGAGGATCACTCTTTGCACCAATTCTGTCATCGGAGTGTTTTTGTAAGCTTTTAAAGTTCCAAGGAGTTCAGAGTAGGTCAGGCAGTCCCCCAACATTGTTGAGACCTTCGTTGTATACACTGTTGTTACACAGGGGTAACATAATACCAAGTCTATGGTCTAGTTCCCACAATATTGTCGCATTTGAGGGTGTATGTCTCAATCATAATGTCATGGTCAAGGTTATAGTTCTAGGACCTGTCACTCTGGTAGATTGACTAGGGTTTGTTAGTATTTAGCTTAGATCTTATGATCAAAGGCTTGAATTCAGGAATGGATTGTTTATAAAGGATAGTAGGCCAGTCAAGGAAAAAATGTACCTGCTTGACAGTTTCAGTTTTAGTTTGTCAATCTGAAATGAGAAACATTTGCTTGAATTTTGTCTAGCCAAGGGCTTTAGATTTTTCCTAAAAATGGGCAAAAACTATCATTTTTTATGACATTCTGAAAATTTGCATGAATTATTGTTTTACATTACGGCACTCCATGAAAAAGAAAGGTCCAAAATAACTAAAAATGCTTTTTAAAGCACCCAAAAGTCATCAGCTACACATCTATTGAAAGGTTCTACACTTGGGGTAAGTTGTTTGCAATATTGGGGGAGTCTATCTATACTCTAATTGATGTTAAATTGCATTACTTGAACTGAATGTTAAAAACAGATGGAATATCTCAGTATAAGAGTGTTCCTTGCAGGGGTTTAGATGACACATCGCCACAGGGTAAAAGGGGCACTCAGGTCATGGACTCATGGGATAAAATTCCTCCAGGGCAGAAACTCCTACACATTAACCTTCTCCCTGCTGCCTTACAACACAGTATACTAGTAATGTTATATAAATTTGGTACCAAAAGGCTACCTCAGGAGTGAAAAGGTTAAATGATCTGCATGTAGCATTATGTACAATGATGCAGAAAAAAGTATTTCTACCACTGCAGCGTGCAAAATACCTGGTTGCCCAGTTGCCCCGGGCAACAAAATTTTACTTGGGGCAACCTATTTTTGAACCTAGGTAGCCCAGTGTGCTACCTGAATTTTAAGACTGCCCCCCTCCCAAAATCATGCCCACTTTGCTTGCACCACTATATCCGGCAGATGCTTTTTAATTTTAGGTATTGATGGCTATTACTAGTATCAGTTAACTAAATGCTGTTTAGAGTCAAGAAATATTGTCAAATGTATGTAACATTACTTAATTTAAGGAAAGTAGCAACTTATAGGTGGGGCAACCTAAAATTCTGATGGGCAACCTAATTTTTGCCGTAGGTTGCCCGCTAGCTAGGCAACCTGGTTCAAAAAAGTATTTTGTACACTGCACTGTTACCTGTACATGTACTCATTAAAATACCTTAATTGGCTGGTTAGACATTTTTTCTGACATTTTCTGTCCCGAAGTGTCGATTTCAGCCCCATGCCCTTGAACTCTGCCCTCATTAGCTGACACCAAACCCCCAGGAAATGTTTCTCCTTCACCACCCAGTCTTGTAGAGTGAAGAGAAAAACCTGCATGTGGCTTTAAGCCTCCGTAGCAGGCTTATAGAACTGGGGGTTTGGTGATCTTCGGCTGTTTTCTGATTAGTCCAGTTCAAAAAACGGGG